ATATATATATAAACACCCCATTGTGACAGAGACATCGAAAAGTCGACACATTGAGAAATGCCAAGCAAAACAGCAGCCACAGAACAAAATATTTGTTTTTCCAATCTCAATATAAATTGGATGTATGTTGACTAGAGACACTTTGTGGTTTGTCTCCATGGGAAAAGACCTTAAGTAAATAATGAAACCCTAAAACGATAGCCCTTTTGCGACAGCTGCTTATACGTGTGTCCTCAAGCTTTTTGGATGAACGCTTTCTGAATGGAAAAACTTGTCTTTTGACTAATGACAGAAACACATTTGATCCCCAAACAAAATGAGAGGTTGAACTGAAAATGTTCAACATAGCTGCTACAGCGACGGCTTTATCGTCAAGCATAAAGCTATTGTCTTCTTGGTGACGGCACCGCGTAGTTGGCGCATTGGGTGCGCATAGTTTTTGAGTTTTGTGATTGCTTGTGGAAAGATTCGACAAAAGGATCACGAAGGAGACCCCAGAAGAACCCCATTTTTCTTTCAGTAAATTTGAACTAATGAAAATAAACTGAGCGTTTTAAGTATAAAATGACAGTATTTCCTTAAAATCCGACCGAGCAAACTTGCAAACGTATAGTAAGGAGAATTCAACACATCAAAGCAAGCAAATACAAAAAAACCTCATGTACAAACCCAGGTAAATCACTGTCTAGGTACCAGCGTATTTGACTTCAATCTTTCAACACTAGATCATGATTAAATCACAGACACTCTCAGTCGCACAAGGGAAGTTTTAGCTCATAAAATCGAAATGGGCTATTAATGAGTTAAAATACTTCCATTCAACACAGTGACTCATGTACATCGAACAACTGTGAGAGGACTATTGCATTTTTCAACGTTAACTTCTCCGTCGTTATGTGACATTTATCTACTATCATTCTACTCAGGAGGGTTTAACCAGATAAACGCAGGTGTCTTATTGAGTTCAGAAATGTCGGTAGTATTCCGTACGTAGTATCGTTGACCAGTTGTTTCAGTGATATTCTCACGAACAAAACTTGTGTTCCGCTATGCAATACTAACCTACATGTTTTGGCGGAGTGTATCGAATTCAACCGTTTCAAGACGAGTTGTTTGACTGCGCACTGAGTGAGTTCACGGCGAACGTGTGATTAAAAGAGTAGCTCAATGAACATCTTGGCGTCTGGCGATCGATCAGTGTTGATATTCGTACAGACAGTTGCCTGTTTTCGGTCACCTGATATAAAATGATCATAAACGAACGCCGACTGTGCTTATGGAGAGAGAGGGTGGCTAGGCCAAACTAGCCGACCGACAAAGGTACAAAATTTGCACTCAGTTGCGAAGTCCAGTATGAAAAATAAGCAATACAATTATCAAAATCAGCTGGCGTTGAGTTTAGCATTGTAAATGAACGAGAGTCGTTTATCCGTTTGATTTCGCATGCCATTACGCAGTATTCCTTGTTACCCGTTTCGACAGGGTTGCTCATATTTTGATTGGATATACTAACCGGGTGTGGGACAAAGTTATAGGCGCCCCATTTATATGCTGAAAATAACAAGAATATTTTTCAAAGGAGCCTAGCAGCTTGATTAGTTGAGTACGACGTATAATAGTTATTAGCATGGCAGAAAACTTTCTATCCTTGGTTTTATCGTTGGTAGTTTTCAAGTTCAGGATCAGCCTCGACACGTTGGTGTTTATACATTTCGCTGGTTTATGCAACCTGCTTAATATTCTTGAGAAATTTTAAGTAACGTTTCAACTTTCAACTTTCAACTATGGTTTCATTAGGTGTGCAAGACATTTCACAGCAGGTCTCCGTTGGAATGGACATGGTTGGAAGTAGCTTCATGTAAGAAGGAAAGCAAAATTTCACCATGAACTTTGTTCACAGCCAGTCGTTCCGCAAATAGTCTCAGAAATAACAAGATTTTAACACCTCGGGTTAGCAAACCAACGCCAAAGTGGACTAAATCTTTTAAACTTTGAAAATATGTAAGTCATGGCAACAGACGAGCATAAACCATGCAATATAATATTTCTTACCGATGAAGTAGCAGACTGCATGTCTACTGGACACTGGACATGTCGTTATGCAAAACTATTTTCACCGCTTGCTTCCGGTCGCAGGTGGTAGGAGCGGTACCTCAAGATATCTCTCTTGATAATACTTGGTTAGCACTTGAATAAAGTACAGCTACTAGGAGTGGGCCAAGGGTAGATAACTGCTTAGGGCAGAATCCACGATTTTGATGAATTTCACTGATCATAAATGAGTGTGTGCAGATTTGAATCGATTTGTTTCGGTAGAGCAGCCTATGAAAAGCAGATATCATGAACTGTACCTGGAAGCCCGTTACATGGATTTACTATAAATGTTGGTGGCAATGAAATCATTACCAGTGAACTTGATTTTCCCGTTTTCGACTTTACCGTCCTTGGAAGTCAAATACTCTAAGATTAGTTATCTCTCAAAGGTGGATTACATGAGTATTCATTTGTAGATATCTCACATTAATAGGTTGGCGCATTCGGTGAATAAAATGTAACGTCAAATTTATCACGTTACTAGTGCTCCTTGACATTAGACTCTACAATTTCTACCACCTACTATCACTCTGCACTATGCGGGTATGGGAACAATCGTGTGGCTGAACTAACAAGCTTTGGGGTTATAGAATCCAGCAGCACTATTAAAAAAGGACGCGCTTAAGCCGAATTAGGCTGCTGAGACTTCAAGTGCATAGAGCGGACAGATTTCCAGAAGTTTCCTGACTAAACCTGCAGCAACAAGCAAGCGGACATGATGCACTTTATGAAAATTTCAACTTAAATCGGTTGTTTGATAGAGTTAATTGTATGCGGTTCACACTGAACCGGTTATACCTCGATATTAGCATATTCTTATAATTTTGCCGTTGCTGACCAATAACCTCCCAAGGAACCTAGCGGTTTTCTTACTTCGGTCTCTGCGTCGAATGCTTTAGGGCAACCAAGCAAGTAGATCATTCTAATCCCTCACAGTCCGTGTGGAACCTGGTAATTCTTAGGGTATACCCGTGAATGACTCAGCCACAACAGATGGCTCGTGTTTTTTCAGCAGCCTATGTATCCTCTTGAAACTTGAAAGCTTACATTTATCGCGATCTCTCAAATAATGTACCAGCTGAAACATGAGACAGCCTGGTCCGGCGCATTAAGTTGCACAGAAACATCATAAAGGAAAGATCCAGCTGGGTTTTGGGTGAGTTCACCGCAAAACCACATTTGTTTGCAAATAAGTGTATTTCTCTGCTGAGTGTTTTAGAGACCAGTTTAGAGCCCAGTTTTAGATACCAGATACTTGGAAACTTTTAATCGGATAATGAGCCCTGTTAAATCCAGCTGACGGGCTCCTATCAAAACAAAACTCATTAGGCACATGCTCCCTAGTGCAAATATTTGCTAACACAGTAAGTTGTCGTGACATGTTTGGGTATGCTGATTTTTCTGCAGTTTTCTTTAGACATGATGACGCTAGAAATCGCCGCATTCGCTACGGTTAGAAGATATTATCCTAGCAAAGAAGCTATGTACAGATATGTCTAGGTTGGGTATGTCGTAGGTCAAAATGATCAGTTGTCTTTTGAGAATGAAACATCCTTCGGCGGTTCTCACCAGTCACACGTGTATTAATCCATCCTTCTCAAGGCGGGAATAGAAACAGTTCGTTCAGGTGCTCACATACAACCTATTCGGCAGCATTTTAACAGAGCAGTTAAGTTTACGCAGGGAAACATTCAACTAAGCGACGATGACGAGAAAATGTTAGTACTAACCCTATCATATGGTTTCGAGCGATTCGGTGCCACGCAGCATGATGTGCGCTACGTCGTAGTCAACTATGCAACCAAACACAGCAGTTTGAAATTGCTTGCAATGTCATTTTACGCATCGACTCTGCTAGCATTTTTCATCATCCTCAATACTGCCCTGAGGTTTTTGAGGTTTTCGAAGTGAAGTTCAGCATTCATGACACCATTAAGAAGTGGAAGAAGAATGGAGTATCAGAAGTCTGTAGCATTGAGCTTTTTCCGTGTTAGATCGGGCTAAGTAAGTAAAATATCAATGTTTTACTAGACACATTTTACGACATTGGGTTTGTCAGCTTGCTGCTTGTCACATGTTTGTAGACCAGTTCCATCAGCTAATAATATAGCCCAATGTGATCGACGCGCCACCAGACGAGGGTGTCTGGCGCGAATGGATGACAGACTGTGAGTGATACATCTTTCCTCAACCCAGGTTCATACCAAGGAAGGTGAAATTGCCCCGCGTTGCAATAAGGGTGTGCTCAATTAATTCGGAACCAAAACAACTTAATGTTTGCTCAGACAAAACAAAACGTGACAGTCGTCAAATTTTCATAATAGTCGTTTACCTCCCTAGCCAACCATTCTATTGCGTTGGAGAAAAACCAAAGGGGTACACCCGTGAGGATGTGTTATTGTTTTTTTTGCATCATCACTCTTTTTTAAGCTATGATCATTTAAATCTTCACAGGCAGTTGCTCTAATATTGAAGCGTATATCCCATGGTATTCTCAGAAGCAATAATGGCTACTCTGTGACAGACTGACAACATTTCGATAGTTAGCTCCAGATGAGTTTGGCCAACACAGAACCGGCTTTCAAACCTTTTTAAATGACTTATAAAGATACAGCTGGAGTTCATTCTCCGTCTGCTTAACGCTGATAAAGTTACAAAGCCCCGTTTTTGCTGTCAGCTATCTTGTTCCTTCAAATGTGGCTACTATTTGTGTCGCCTACTGTATCCTCAGACCCCATGGAAGAGAATGAAACATCCACGCTACACTGCACATGGTACTATTGCTGGGTGTGTTTTGGTGGTACGGAATTGGAGTTTCTGTTTTTTGATAAGTTCTCTAAGTATTGGCCAGAATACACCTCACTTGTCACTAACCAGCACAAAGGGACACATTTTTGGCTTTTGTTTATTCCATTTAGGATACAATACTTTCTAATGATTTCGACTATGTTTTCATCTATCTCTTCAACAGATTCTACAAAAAAATTGACAAATCACCTTCAGCTGCGTAAGTTTGCGTTAAACATCAGGGGTTACCTTGATTAGTTTCATGCAAAGAGTTTTTGACGTTGTAAATTACTGGTTTGTGCGCTGAAGAAGTCCACCCAAGAAGGACCAGAACATTAGTTTGATTGTATGATAGGATTCTTTCTCAACCATATGAGAGCAATTGTATCTAAGTTTCCTTCTAGGGGTCATAAGTATTGCTGGCTCTAGCCTAACCATGATTACAGCATTCACTTATCCTCAGTGTAAACTTGAATACACAGCAAAGGCCTGCGAACTGGTTGATCGTCGGCCTAGTGGACTCATATATTTCACTAACATTTATTCATTCACTAGTAGGTTTGTTGGAGTATCACGCAGGTGGCCGCACCTAACCTGTTATCCGCTCCAGCATCATCGATCATTACTGCCATCCAACGTAGGCATATATCTGTATTGTCTGATTTATGTTGGACATCAAATGATTACTGCGGTTTCTTCACTTGGCCGAGCAGCGGGGTGTTTTTAAAGGTAGAACAGCACATAGATATCGTTGTTAGTAAGTTGGTGCAGTTACACGTTATACGTGATCAATCTACTGCGGACTGTGCTGTTTTGGGATTCGTGCTACCTTCTATTCTGCTCGAATCTGAAAGGCAATATTTTTTTCCAAAGGAATGTTCGCTACTTGAATTATTGCTTTTTTGTCTCCTTAAGTGATATACCAGTCATTAGGGATGCGATTGTGTCCCATTTTGAGCGGCTTCAACCGGAAAGAAGTACCCTAAACAATGGAGTTGGTCAGTATTGAGTGGGAGTTAACACAAGCTATCTGGGTAATATAAAAGTATACGGCCACCGGACGTCCTTGTAAGCGTTCTGGCCGGGAAAACTGATTATCACAAAACTAGAATTTTTGTTCTAAATCCATGGTTACTCTTAAGTGAGCCAGTTTAGTTTAGTAAATCTGAATAAGGCGGAACGATTTGCGAACAACTAGAACAGCCTCAGATACACCAAATGCATAAAAAGAGTCAAATGTACAGAGACTGTACTGTGGTTTTCGGTAGTAACCTGAATAGTTTTAAGCACTCTGTATTAGTAGTATTCATTTGGTCTGCGAAATTGGACAATTCAGCTGCCTCGGGCTCAATTGGATTGGTGTTACACTATGAATTATCTGGTCGCAAGGTAAGTTGACAAAACAGAAGCGAGAATAAAATAATAAATCACATTGGAGAAAAGTGCAATAGAGGAATCACCTACAGGAAACTAATTTCGGCAACAATTAGGCGAAGGAGTGCGTCAGTCCACAGGCATATTAGTTCTACAGATGCATAGTTATGTCGACAGGACGCATCCGCTCTTAGGGGCTAATCAGGATTGGAAAGTACTAGAAGACCGGACATGAATATAGATGGTTGGGTGAGATTCTTATCTGTAAATCGTATTACACAGCTTGAACTGAAGAGTGAGAACCTGATGGCATTTCATTTTACGTTATATGCATAGAAAAAGTGTCGTTTCAAGTCGTATGTGACAAAAATGTCAGGGAACATTTCCTCAAATTTGTGCAGTTTGGGGTTGACTTAAAGGCAGAAACGTTAAAGCCATTGTAACATTCGAATGGCTTGAGAAGAGAGTTTTGCAATTCGGCATATACAGATTGAGAGGAGAATTAGGGCGTCCTGATGAGAGGATTCGAACTTGAAGAATTGAGAATTTGTACTATGGGAAAAATGGTTATTTTGACTGAAGTTAACAGAAGTGACCGGTGAACAGTATGCATTTTCTTTGCAGCAGTGGCAAGAGTGAAAGATTTGATTACGGAAAGTCCAACAAGCTGACTTTTAAAGATATTTCTCCTTTATATCCTTCATGTCAGCTAGGTGTATTTCAGGCTATCAGAGTTTGTATTCCACTTTTATATAGTGCGTTTATTGATAAACGCCACATGTCAGTCATAATATTTTGAGCGAACTTTTGGGGGAATTCCGGTCATTAATTCCGGTCAGAAGCAAATGGTCTATCCATCTTTGTTTGTGCGCAAATAGGCCAGTAACTAATGTACAAACAAGGTTTGCTTGGTCCATATTTGGGAAGTTTACAATGCATCACAAAAACCATTAAGATGTAATTACCACCGGCTCCGGTACGATAGGTATCAAGTTTTTTTGACGTGGATGCTCACACTAATCCTTGAAATTTTGCCGCCATTACAGAAAAAAAGCTTCGCACTTACGTCACAACACCACTTCGATTGGAAGTGTCAAACAGCCTGAAGCTTCCCCGAAGATTTTCCACAGGTCATGCGAAGACCTCAGCCTTCTGGTTGCTACCACGTCGGAAGAGGTTTTGACCACCGTGAGCAGAACATCCTTATTAAACGCATTACTGGCGGAAACCGACGGATTAGAGGAAAATGACCAAGATACATTCCAGGTAAGCATGATCTTCTGTGGTTGCTGGCAGACGTTCACTACGTTTGGAATAACGCTGACTACAGGCTGCTAACTGTATCGTGGCTACTCACATCGTCTACAGATTCACAGTTGCTGTTCAGTGTGTATCGTACATAAAGGTCAGTGATACTTTCACGTCTCATCTGAGCTCATCCTGGGACCCCCCACTTTCGTAAATAAATCGAATATTACCCTCGTTTACTCCCTGAAATTCTTCACCTCTCACTGGTATCGCTGGTATTTCTGGATGATACATCTGCCCCATGTGGCATGGTGATCGATGCCTCACTATCCAGTGAAGATTTGCGCGCTGCCACACGAAACGAATGTCAAACAGCACCACCAGCCGGGTCATGTTACGGCCATAGATCGAGCATGTGATAAGCTTGGCTAATTTCTTCCGTCCTTGAATACAGAGTATTTGTAATTAGCACACATAAACTTTGGGGTTAGCTTTGACAGTATATCGGAACTCATCAAGCTAGTGTACCAGAAATCACAAAGGTGACTGAACTGCTCAGTCAAACGGGACAATGTTCGCAATTGGGATGGTTGAAACAAAAGTGGACAAATCATCATTCAATAAGGACTGACAGCTGGGTGGAAGCATATAGGTGTGCTCTAGCGATGCCAACCCAAGGAAACAATCAAGGATGTTTTATCTAGGGGCTGGAGTCTTCAAAGTTAGATCCAAAAGATATCGGATTCTTTTGTTGAGACCATCCCTTTCATTCAGTTGACAGGCTTTCTTGCCACTCTTTCATTCGCTCTAACTTATCATCTCCGTAGTTTCTCATAGAATACTGAAAAGAGTTTGCTTCAACCTAACATAATTGGAATGAGATACAAAACACATGTTACGTGAGGTCAGCGGAGTTTGCTAACGGCAATTGTGTTAGGGAGGTCCCCATTGTCATCCATCAATACACACTTCAAAACAAATTGAGATAATGCTGCGAACAAACTTTTAACAAGAACTTCGAAGAACGTCTCATTCGCCAATCTATTTCTCAGTCTAAACTGCTTCTCTACTGTTCACCAAACCAGTCAGCAATCCCACCATCAGCATATGACATTTTGAGAAAACTGAGACCACTGGCAGAAAACGGCTAAAATGCAAGTACAGCCCCCTTCGTGTTTTAGTGGGTGAACATTATAACATAGTTCAGACAGTGTGATGATTGGCAGTTGTTTTGATGTTAGAAACTGTTATTTTACAAGGTCACCATGTCACACGATGTCTCTGAATGACTTCAGTGATGAAGGAATGTAAGTTGACAGGTGTGTACTAAAATATGTAAAACATGTTCTGCATGATCCTCGTTTGCGTCATGCACAATCTGGGAGCCAGTGTTTGACAGCTGAGTCATCTGCACTCATCTAAACGAACTGTTCACCATTTGGTAAGATCACCTGCCTCCCACATCACGTTTTTCTGCTAGTAAGACGTGTAAATGAACTTCCGCTTAAGAGAAACTAGCCGTCATTTGGCATTCCGCGATCGATGCCCAGCAATCTTACGATCACCCATTTGCCCTTCGATTTATGGAACACCTCGTCTACTGTGAAGTCGTTTGTAGGCTAAATTCAAAGCTTATTACTTGCTACTCGATGCTTCGAAACGCGACCATAAATGAGAGATCCAGTTGAGACTCTCGTGAGAACCAAATTGATTCGCAACTGAGTGCATTTCTTGAGAACAGTCTAATTTGGGTTCAAGTAGAACATAAGGTTGACGGAAACGCGGGGACTGCACCTAATTGATGAGCCTCAAGAAGGGCGAAAGCGGTCGTGGGCTGTCGAAGAGTTTTCAGTAACCTTGTGAATAGTTTCCTTTACAAAAACAACGCATACTTTGGGTAAAGGATACGCAGTAGCCCCGAAGCAGTGGCCTATTCCGTGGGGAATCCTTGGGTGCGTTCACAGGCATCCAATATTAGTTGAGCAGTCAGATCATTGAATTAAGATGCCTGGCTTACTTTATTGAAGATGATCAATTTTGTGATTTGCAGCATGCACTTCACGTGTGATTCAGCATAACCTCTACTGCTGCTCAATTCCAATAACTCGACAGATCAAAATTTGTTGAGTACAATATTTTGCGAGAGATGCTGTCCCAAAAGTGAGGACATAGAGTTATCGAGTGCTTAGTTTTCTCATGGCTTTGAAACGTCAATAATACCTATGTGTCAGCAAATAGGATGGACTGAATTCCTTTGATGAAAATCTTCGTTCTGTCAGCGAAAACACTTTTTGTCCAATTTCATCGTTTAATTTTTTCCTCTATCTAAAAACAGGACTTTGTTACCTGGTATAAAAGCGGATGTCCTCTTCAATATCCATTTGATGAAGATGCTTCCGGTGTGGTCACGAATAACGGTCATCTAAAAACCAGTAATCATCGTCAAATCCGTATAATACGCCAACCAGATTCGAATTATATCTCAGAGCTGAAATCCGATAAGAAAAACGCGCTTGCTGAGAAAAACCCTCCTTCTCCCGATTCCACGCTTCGTGCTTCCCCCTCAAATACAGGAATGATGTTTCTTCAACGACTATACAACGATGATATTCGACCATGTCTGGAATTCCGGGATAAAGTCCTGCAGAATGCAATCCACCATGCGTTACCCGAGCTGGGTCTGGAGATAAATCCTTTTAGAAACATTTTAGACGAACATCATTCGAGTGACTCTAACACACCGGTCATTTGTCCTTTGCTACCGGCTCTAGAGCCTGCATACCAACTGTTGGTCAAAGTGAGTGAAACGAAATGTGGGTGAAAAACTTTCTGTTACTCTATAGCCTTTTCGGCGCATCGACCTTTGTTTCTTGGATCACGATTACGTGAAATTATTTCAATTTCACTGACTGCACCATAGGTGCTGTTGACCGTTATAAGGAGCTTGTTTTTAACTGTGTGAGGTCTCATTTCAGGGTCAATCTCAGAGATTGTATACGTCAGCTTGTCAACATATTGATAGCCTGGGTGTGTTTACTGGTTGTTGGTCACGTGGCCGTTGATATGTTTGCCAACCTTGGCCTTCAACTTGCGCAGTTGACGAATGCACATTGGCGACTCCTCCGTGACTGAAAACGGAACACTTATTATCTGACTGATAAGCTCAATAAACAGATCAACGGCCACCTGATCAACTATAGGAGGTTTCATAAGAACACTGTCATCGCATTTGGAAAAGCCAACTACTGGACAGTTGATATTTGGTCCAATTCATCTTATATTCGAATCCTTTAATGATCATATTTACTAATATTGCATCAAATATTATTTTTTTGTTATTCAGTAAATACTAATGATTTTTTCATTGAAGGCAGATAAGTAGCTAGGACATATGTGTGGAAATATTCAGACCCAATAGACATTTAGCTTGACTTAGCTGATTGGTTCTCCTTCTGTCTTAAATCTCGATCAACCTCGGAACCTAGTCACTTGGCCCGACGAAGCTTTTGTGTCAAAAGCGAAACGTTGCCCAGCAATAAATCTACCGATTGTCACCAAACTTTTTCGAAAACGACATTGAGACCCAGTTCACGCTGGACCCAACAGGTGTACTATTAAGGGACAGCGTTTCACGGAACTGTCCTGCTGCTCTGTTACGTTTACCTTAGGATACACGCGCAGCACAGATCTGAGACCCAAACATTTCTCAGGAGCTGACAAGTGACAGTTTAATCCATCTGTCGCGGTGATGAAGGCTGCGTGATTGCACTGTCTGTCTTTGTTTCAGTAGCATGTGAAGTGTTTATGTAGCCTCCTGAGCTTTATTAGAGCAGCCAGATTACCTTGAAATTTCTCCGCTTTTGTTCAACTTATGAACCTAAATCTATAACATGACTACAACATCCGAAGCGGTGTTCACGTATGGACTCTTTGCGCAGCGATCCTAAAACATCATACACTGTAGTGAAAGTACGCGATCCGCTAATAAGGGAAACTGACTGGTATAAAACACAACACCTGAGCAGCATCCGACATTCAAGATGCTGTATGATTCGACAAGTGATTTCCCTAATTCATGCATGCAGTGGTTCCAGTCGTAATTAGCACTCTTTGATGAGTTGTGTCCTTGACACAAGAGACACAGCAGTCGCCGTTCTATAGTAATGTGAGGAGATCTGATCATACTCAGTGGAAATTTCATCTTATCAGTGAAGCCAGTCTACGCTGAAAAACAGTAACTCACTCATGTATTGAAAGATAACTAACGAATCCTTTTGGTCACCGGTGTATACGTGCTTACGGCCTACCAGAATGGAAATTACGGGCAATGAAATGAAATTAGTCTGAAAAGAAACCTCTGGGAAACCCTCAGTAAATCTGTGGTTAAGAAATCAAGATTGTATGACATACTCCGTATTGCAGTCTTTCTGGGTGTCAATTAATCAGATTATCATTGTTCAGGGAGGGAAACGGTTTCCACATTTCGCTTTAGGAGATCAGGCTTGTCCACCAAGTGTCCATAGGTCCTCCGCATGTGAAACTTACGGTCTAACTGTAATGTATATGAAGTATAGCGTTAAGATTTTTGTCATGGTTTGTATAATCACGAACGACAGAGAGCGCTCTTTTGTGATGATAGAACGTTTGACCTGAACAGTTCAATTGGCTGAGTTTTTTATTACCGCAGTCCGGAGGAGCAGGGAAAAATTTGTGGTATCAGGAAGCTCAAAGTGAAAGCTTCCATTTTCCCCGATTACTTTTCGTTTTGGAATAACAAACTGAGGTGAACCAAGTTGTGAGTTACGAGGCCTGCTCGTAAGTTAGGATACTTCGAGATGGGCTTTTTGTTCTTTCTTGCTGTAATTACGAGGCAAAATGATTTTTAACATGACAATACTTTGTCAATTTTTGTGCAACACTATGATTTCCGGAAGCAAGTACGGATGTGAACCCTCCAAAAACCTGCAACTTAATAATAATGTAGTATGTAGACAAAAAAACTATCTTCACTGCCGTGGATGGAAATAAGACGGAAGTCGTGAATGCACAATGGGATGTGCATGGAAAACCTCTGCACAGTTCAAGATAATAAATTCCTGATTCAGCGACTCACTGCTCTGGATGATGGATGCTACCAGTTTGAATGCTCTATGTTGAACGAGAGCAAAGGACACCAAGGGAAAGCTATATACAAAATGACGCTTTGCGCATCAGAGCTCTTCTTTAGGAGTATTTAAATGCTTTGTGTTAGTGACATACCAACGGTGGATACAGTTGGTGAACTTAAGCTTAGATGTCCGCGACGAACAACTAAGGTTGCTGATAAGTCGTCAGGCGTGGGACAGCTAAGCCAGCTTGTCGGTCATCCATGTTTGCAGCTGCCTCCAAGCGTTATGTAACAGAAAATGAGACCACGATTGATTAATGTAATTGCTTGACTTTTTTGTCGTCAGACAATCCAATAGAATTTGTCGGTTCAGAAGACGCAAGCTAATATCTAGACCATAAGTCGCGCTTGTCCGAAGATGACGATACATAAAAGCCAGTTTTGGTCTCCATGTTTCCAGGCCATGTATTTTGCTAGTTACAAATGAAATGACCCGCAATACATGTGAAGAAATGGTTACAAGCTCAGCAAATCTGAGTGTTGTAAGAGAGCGTACTTTTCATGAGATACTCGAATATAGGGTCATATTCATTTACTTTAGTTGAAATTTCTTACCCAGCTTTCTTTTTGAGCATAAGTTTCCATGTGGTGGAAATATTACGAACAATTGTTACTTGCCGAAGTCCCAGAGTGTCCCGCCGATATGTACAAGATGGGGAGACTAGTGTACGAAAATATAGTATACTTGAAACATGAAGAAATATAGTCGCTGCACAAATGAGCGCAAAATACAAAGCCAGAATTTAAAAACATGGCAGGAACAAGCAAGGTAACGCAATATTCATAACCTATTTCTGCAGTGCTTCTGACAAGGGGATGTAGACAACCCATATCTTACCATGGGGCTGAGGAGTGATAATAAGTTTGCTTTTGTGCTTTGGCGATTCAGGTGGCTCAACTTTCATTTACGAATGTCTCATCAATGTAATTTTTCTTCCATGATTGCACGTTCAAAACACATTTCCAGGAGAGAAATCGATGTCAACAACATGCGTCTTTTAAATCGAGGTAGGGACACAATTACAGTTGAGCAGCATCTGTATATTTGCGGCATTATACGGCCATGAGGCTGTGCACGTTACTTGGCAGTTAAGCTGTCAGTCCTATACGGCCATGAGGCTGTGCACGTTACTTGGCAGTTAGGACTGTCAGTCCCCCCAGAACACAACCACTTTCCTGGTAAAACCAAACCGACCGATCCCTCAATGGCCATAATAAAGTAGTTTGGAAACCTGCTGATAGAATGGTCCGGCATTAACTTGCGGTAGGATGAACCTCTCGACCGATGCAATGCTTTTAAGAAGCGGGTGGCAGATGAAATCTGCTGTCGCACAGTCCTCCGAATGAAAAGTGCACACCTTTTGGTAGTGCAAGATTGTTTTGGAAGACAAACTCGGCATGTGATCTATCGGTTCTCTATTATTGGTACCTCACGTGAGCATGCTTGGAACAACCTAATGACGTTGAGAACAAGGAACTGGTGAATAGAGGGTGTATTTCGGCGTAATCGAGAATATACCTTGACATTCTCACAGTACACATCTATTCAGACAGATCTCAAAATATATAATTCCTTTTTTCACCAAATATTCCTTGACCGGAAAGCTAATCTGCTGCTTCTGTCTCCTGCTTCATACGAATTATTCACAATATATTTTTGGTCTACTGTTTTGATGATTGCCGTTTCCCTAAATTTTACACGTAGTTGTAAACCGAGTCAGCAGTTGGTAGTATTCGAATTTACGACCAACTTGTTTGTGAACTAAGGAATAAATTGTTAACCGAAACTCCGTTACATGTGATATCCTTCATGATCTTTGGGGATGTTCATCAGGTCAAGCGTGTGGTATACTCGGATGCACAGCTTATCCGATTAGCTATATTTCTACGCTCATAATCAAGTGGAGCCTATGGTCTCGGTACAGCTGTGTACCAGCTGTGTGCACGAATCAGCTGCAAGGCACGCAGAGAAGCCAGACATCTGCACCAATCATTCCGTCATACCTCTGAGAAAAATCATAGCCTTTAAGGCTTTATATATTTAGGTTTTTAGGCATTCACCCACTCCAACTGCTCTAAAATACAAACATTTTGACTTACACAACGCGCAGATTTAGTTTGATTGTGTTCTGAGTTGGACCTTGGAAGAATCGTGACTCTGGCTTAATTATTGAAGTCGGCCTATCACTCCTTATGAATAAGCTCCAGAACTCATTCACTGCAGATGGCAGGGCTGCAATTTGTGGCAAAAACCTACAACGAGTGATAACTGCCGTTTCGTCAAGCTTAAGCCAACCGAACCCATACCGAAAATAAACATCGATATAGACATGGTAATTCAGTTATCTCTACAGAACGAATTGGGTGTATCCCAGCTGACGTGAAAAGTGCTTTTGAGCAGGTTGTCCTGCTCAAAGCAGCGGTTTCGTTCAAAGTTGTTTGGGTCCGGAGCACCTGCTCCTTTTGAACAGAAACCCACGTTCATCTAGCGCTAAAATTTTAAAGCGGTCCTCCTCTGCACGAGGAACAACCTTGTTCGCAGAATGTCTGGGTCCTGGCATTCGTTTAACCGATATTTGAAAAAGAGAAATTTGTTATTAGAGTTTCTTGGTGGTTCAGTCCCAGAAATCTACACCATTGAGCCAAAAAATGCCTATCAGTGAATAGCAATTTGAGTTTAGCAGAAAATAAGTGGGTTGACCTCCTGGACAACTGTGTCTACGCTGTCATAAGCCATATCATCTAGCTATTAGGACAGAGGAATTTTGAACTTACTGCCAATGACCTTAGCTCGAAATATAGTAGGTCAATCGCACAGCAAAACCAACACGACGTAGAAATCGGGGATCAGACTAACAGACTACGAATAATAGTAAGATTAATTCATGTTGCATGGCAAGCCGAATAACCTTCATTCCATTTCAAGCTTGTTCTGAATACGAGAAGTCGTGTTAGCACGCTTCTCATCCTGACAGTTTTTTCCTCGATGACCTATTTCGTCACTTTTGTCAGGGCATTAACAGAACTATTCTGCTTAAAGCAGTGTAGAGGGAGCGATAGGAGTCAGGACAATTGACTTTCTAAAGCGCTCTCATCTCTGGATATCTTGAGTATGCAAGCGTGTCATGTCCTAAAAGCCGATGGGCAGACGTTTCGTTGTGTGCAGCACTGGAACGAGTATAGCAGGAGCACACAAACTACTACTGCTTATTTGTGAAATGCACTCATTTGCAAACTAATTTGGTTTTGCGAGACTCACTTGAAACCCAGTTGAATCTCTCGTTTGTGATGTTTACAGGCTATTGCTTATGTTTTAAACATAATATTATTCCTTCCTTATGAGAGCTCTCACTATGAGACATTTTGCAGTACCAAAGTACACTTTGTGACACTGGCAAATATGCAGTGGAGAATGGACAACAAAAATCACTGTGGATAAATTCTGCGTGATTCAAGCAGTGAGCATTTCAAACGAACCACAAGTTAAACTGTAGATGGCGCCCTCAAGGTTGGTTTTCGCTCAGTAAACCGTCAGAGGTCCCCGCTGGACGACATTCCTCCAAATAAGAACCACTGATCTGGGGAAGAATGCTTGACGACATTTATGGGTGATAAATTTGTTCCACTTCAAGTCTCTCATCATTGGTTCTATTTCTACTAGTTCGTGTGCTTTAATTGGGAATAAGGCACGAGGCCTTCGCAGTTTTCTTTTTAGATAAGGTGTCAGGTTGCTCTATGAAGCAAAACATGGCTGTTTCTTCGCCCACTGAATCATGTAGGGATATACTTTGGCTGAAAAAATAGCTGGTTTAATGACGAAGACATGGAATTCATCCATCATTGGCTACGATTTCTGACGTTGTTCCATGCGGAATACGGGGCACGGAAGGTTTGGTGAGCTCTCAGTCTCTCTTAGCCCCAGCAACTCACAAATCAAATCAAATAATTCACTGAATTACATAATGTTTCTATTGACTGGACGGAATAGATGCGTTGTGCACAAAGATCGGCATCTGAAGACAGCTATACAATAGATTTTCGATAAAATGAAAGGCTCCTCGCATTGCAGTTACCTTGTCTGCCCCAATTATCGATAGATATTTAGATTAATTATTACCAACTGAAACAGTTACGTTACCCCGTTCTTGTCGCACTTCAGAAGAGCAGGCGTTACACTTTTTATGTCCTGTGGAATAGATTTTTATCAGGAGTTGCATCAAAAGTGGTTCGCCGCCGGAATTAAGTGTGATATTTCCCATCTTCATGAAAGTTCATAAAGTCTTCGGGAATCGATCAGTAGGAATCACTTCCGAAGAGTAAACTGGGACAACACCAAACCCAATAAAGACAACGTTTACGTGTCATTTCTGATATTTTCTAAGGTTTTCAGAGAACTAATTTTGTCAAATACGATAAATCGTGTTTGCCATTGACAATCCTTTTGACACAGACGGAATTGTCCCCATTACCCGTTAAGCAACCTCAACAAATGGAGATAAAGTTTGCATTAAATTTAGTTACGTATGTAACTACCGCCTGAATCTGCTCTAGCTCTACCCAATCGCCCATGTCCGCCACGCCCTACCCCTCCCTACTGTTGAATCCAGAGCGCAGTCAACTCGAACAAAGCCCAAATAGGACCTGACTGGAGAGCCGGAGAATTGTCATCCATCCTCCGCAAACAAAATGTCGGAGGTTCATTAATCATTTGGGACCATCACTGTTGTCACCATCTTCGTCGTTTTCGTTATGACCATTATCATCATTTCAGTACTCTTAATATTATTAAAATTTTTAATGTCGTTGCAAATTTCTTTTGACGCCTTCTATGGGATCATTGTGAATGAACTGCTTTGCAGTGCATTATGATAACTTTTAATAATATCCGTCCAACTGATCTTATATTGTTCAACATGGCATCTTACTGCAGTTTAAGATGCTATACTTTCAACTACTGCCAAATCGGTACATAACTTCAAAGGCAATGGACTTGCAATTTACTTCTAAAATTATGTGAACTGTGAGCACCACAGCGAATTATTTTATGGAGAGCTAAAACAAACTTTTGATCGTTACATTTGGAATTTACAGATACGACGTATACTATTATGCTAAAATGGTTCACCGATGAGCCGAATGACATAACTGTCAGATTTTAATAAAACGGTGATTGAAATGAGAGGATTTTGTGAACGGCTTGTACAACGAATACATCACTTTGTCAAAGTCCCAGAAATTTTATTCCAGTATTTATCCGGTTTCCATACCCTGTGTATTCATACGACTCGGTACGTCCTCGTTTATATTACTTTCTTGACCAGAATTCAGATGAGCGCATAGAGGTCAGTATCTCAGCGGAGGCTCGACACCGGATTGCAGCCACGATGAACCTGTTCCAGTACCTGAGCTGTATTGCTCGAGGTGTGTGTTCCACACCCCAGTCAATAAATTCCGATCGCAAGCTAAGTATCCGACGCAACTCACAATTATCGGGACAAAGCGCAACAATGAAAGAACATATGGAGCTGGTCAAATATTTCAAGAAGATTCAAAGTCTTCGTTTGGCTATCGCATTTGCTCGACTTGGATTTGGTCTTCCAGAGTCAGAATAATCCCTATCTTAGATGTATTTTACAGCAACTTAGAGGATTACTCTCATTTTAACTCCCGCACATTTGATACCGAATTCGTCCCTCATAAAACCAGTTCAACAAAGTTATCCACGACTTTCAACAGTTTTCCCACTGTCTTCCATTGTGATACATGAAGTTTCTTTTGCTATAAACATAAAATGATTCCCTCGAGGACTCACAAATATGTATCATGGAACCTTTGTATTGTTCTATCGCTGGATTTTCGTTTTCCATCCATACGAAACTTTGGAGATAATGAATGCGTTATGTTTTCAAATGTGTATGAATGACTGTACATAGTCGCGGACTGGCTGGTCCATACGACCAGAGTGAGTGCGTCTGGCAACAATCCCAGATTATTTGCTTACCTGTGGATATACGTTGTACAGCAAGGTCATTTTCTCACTGTCAGACGTGTTGTGCCATAGTTGCCATATTTTACCTTAGGTCCGACTAGGTTTACCTAGCCAGAAAAAGTTGCTGATTTTTTGGTTCCAAGTTCACGCATACGCCCAAAGCACTTCTAAACTCTCCTGCTCAAATCCAAGTTTAACATTAGCTAACAAAGGAAAGTATTAATAATTTTTATATCTCCCGACCTGATTTATCTATATACACCGTCTAACAAGGTACTCTGAATTGATGTAAAATATCAGTAATACCGTCTCCTTAGGAAATTTCTTCTCTGGCATATCCATTTGAGGCTGCTAAAAGCTTCCCGCTGTCCAATAGGTAAAAAATTGAATTTTCTTAGACTATTAAACCGTATGAGGTCTGTCTTACTTAGTGCTTGTTAATGCGCTTATTATTGTGCATTCCTTTAGGCCACAGCTGGTTGATAAACCTGAATTGACGGGAATACTATTTTCAAACCCTAATGCTTACCTTAGCTAAAGGTTTGTCGGCTTATTTTCAGGCTCGCATGTAATCAAGTGACTGTGGTGATTCTGTTCTTCGTTGCATCTTACCATCCCGAGTAACTTCGACATACTGCCTTATAGCTCTCGTGTGAGAATTTTGGGGCGGGCTTCGTATGTAGACTGGGTAACTGTACTGCCTTATTATACTCTCTAGTCTTCCTGCGGTCTTCTCCGGTATTCAATATAACTTTATTGATCCGGTCAACTGAATTGTCTGCCAATTCGTTATTTTAAGAGCATTAGACCATCTGAAGGTTCGAATATTTTATGCATTAACCGTTGCGATTGTTTTATAACTATACATCTGTTGTGATGACTTTTTGAACGGAAGTTTCACTCATTGTGTGAATTCATCCTCCGTCTGTTCTATGTACAAGTCGTCGGTAGTGTTAGGAGATTTTTACTCTTCCATGGAAATATCGCCTTGTAATGAAAGCACTCTTCTGTTGAAGGACCCCGGAGCTACGTCAGATGTGCATCGTTAATCATTTCCAATATGAATAAAACAGCTGTATGATGCTTCTCGGCATTTCAGCATGAATAGGTTTTGATTACAGGGCCAAGTATGCTTATTATCAACAAGTTTATGGCGTCATTTTATAAACAGTCTTCACTGGTCTGCCTGTGTTTCATTGGATTTCGACAAAGCAAGGTCATCGCTCTTCAAATTTTAAAGTGCATATTCTTGAATCAGCTTTGCCATTGCGCTCGGTGACGATATGGGCTTCATTATTTTTTTCCTGGTTTCCTGTGAATGGTGGAAATACTTGGGTTCTTTCCTCAAAATGATTTTCATGTACCACGGCGATTTCCCCCGTCATTCCTTCCTTATTTTCTCGGCAAAAATCACCTCACTGTTTGTAATCTTGTTTTGGTTGGGCAGCATCTCTTAAAAATTGCCTCTAACACCGATATTTTTCTTATCTATCTCGAATTCTAACATAATTCCGAAGTTTTAGGCGTTTCTAGCAGTATTATTGCACATACGACACCCATTTGGCAATCTCATTTCTAACCAGCCATATTTTCGGACGTGTCTTTCATCGCAACCTTCTACTTACAGTTCTCTTAAGCCGTCATGCATCGCCGTATTTGTTTGATACATGAAATCGGCTAAAGTCATCGGAGTGCAGAATGTTATTGACTTGTTTTGACCTGATTGTTTTTTTGCACTGGTCATGCGTGTGATGACAGTGACGTTGAGGTGCAAACCACCTAGCCAAATAACTCATGTTCGTTGTCGAATTCTCGATATCCCCTAACTATACCAGAGCACCACGACCCATCTGAATTCTTCGCTTCTCGCCGATTTTGGAGGAACACAGGGAAGACGTTTTTCCCTATTTCTGACAACCACTTATCCCCTTCAGGTTTGGCAACCGGTTTGGTAATCGTGATTACTGTCCGTTATATGAAGCTAATTCGCAAATTATCAGCATCAAGGTCTAGATTACCTGATTAGATTACATAATTTCTCTCTTAAAATCGTGGACATTAAAGTAAACGGAAGGGACCTGCAAGACAGAGCGGTAGTAAAGTGCTTGGAAATCATTTGCTACGGTTACGAAAAAAACAGACTTTTCCCTTCCATTTATCATAGGGCTTAAACGTTATAACGAACTGACAAGTAAATAGGAACTTTTGGTGGCAAAGACACGGTTGTTGTGACAAAGAATTTCCGCCTAGAACCACTGCTTATCAGTCTTGTTGGTGCAGCGTTTTGTGTCCTGCTGCAACCTATAAAGCCACGGTCCAACATTATCCACTAATCCGTGAGATGCGCTCTACTGTGGATATCGGCAACTGTGAGGCAGCTGTGTATTCAGTCTGGCATCAAAGCATAGACTTACTGTCTACAAAATAATAAAAATTAAAACACCCCCTGAATACGAGGCTGACAAGCTAATGCGCAGGCCCATTTGGCTGAATGGCAACCACTTAGGACTATCCCCGCAAACTCGAAATTTCCGGATTAGTTTAGTTGGAAACAGTAAACATTCAGTCAGCAAGAGTACTACCATTGAAGGCCTATCATTTTGGCCACCGTTTACGTTGCTCTGGACGGTACAGAAATGGGATGCCCTATCAAACCAACAGATCTGTGGATGCAAAAATATGAATGTGTCTATTGGACGTAAAATCCGCTGGTTGTGCCTTTTGTTTTCCTAGCTTAACTCATGAATAATCGTTGAAGGAACTTGTTCTTTAACAGCAAGGAAAACGAGATCTTGCTAAGATGAAGAAATGTATGACTGCCCAGCAGCTAAACCTTCATTCTCTACTGAATGCTCGACTAAACTTCAGTAAAGCAAATGCATCAGGCCTTAAATGTAAGACGAAATGGACTCACAACCAGTTGTTCAGAAGACTAAACCCGCGCTAGCCTAAATTCTATCTAAGATACATTGAAATCACTCAGTAGGTTTTTTCTACTTCTAATTTAGAAGTACTTCGTTAGGTTATTCTATTATTCACCGCAATGCGCGGAAAAAGCCCACAGTAATCACACTGGTAGCAGTGTCCAATCTGAGATAAATAAAACAATGCCTTTGATGAATATTTCCCACAAAAAATCCGGTTACTTTTGAAAGGTAGAGATTTGATTCAGTAGATTTTCACGTTTTACAGAGATTATATAAAAGAATTTGCAGTTCGTTGGTTGAGAAATTTGTCCTAGTTTATAGAATCGTGTTGCTTATAAAAAAGACATTTTCACTGAACTCGATCAAAATTTGTCCTTATCACTGAGTCTCCTGCCCACAAGACGGTGGTTAAGTGGATAAATATGGTAGAAACTTGTGGACGCATTAAAAAAATGTTGTAAAATATTTGCTCTACGCTGCAACTTTAAGAACTGGTTTTTGTGAAATGTAGTTCGTTGCCCAAATCGAATTCCCTTTTGTTTTATTTTTAAATGTCAGTGTAAGTCTAAGTAAATGGCCTCGTTTTTTCAGTGGCACGAATGCTGAAATTTTTGATAGAAAATAAGCGTTTACTAAAAGCTAAACTTAGCTTGCAATACTTGCGCATTTGGGTTTCAGTAATCTTCCTGTGTTTTTAACAAAGGGCGTGCTTCGAATGTTTTTAGCGAACATTTGAGTGGACCGGTGTGCGTCTTCTGGATTCAGATCCCTTGTTAACTTTTGAATTCCAGCAGATATGATTCATCCGTGTGAAAATGGCCAGCCCAATTGATGCTTCATTCAGAATAATGTGACCAATTCCAATAAGACTGGAATTCTCTGACGTATCACGCTGCTGGTACTGGTTGGACAGAAAAATATCAGTAGAACTATATCATACTAATTAATTCCACCAAATTTCGCCATCTGCCTAAAAAGATAAAATCCCTGACTGAACTATTCGATCATAATTTATCACACCAATGCTGCATATAAATCTAACTCTACGTTGACATTATTAAGGAAACCATTTGAAACGATGGCTACAGTTTGTTTGAAGCAGATGGTCCAGGAGGCTTCCGTACTGGAAAGCTTGCCGTGTCAACTACGCAGGACCTTGTAATGATGTGCTGCTTTATGCAATGTCTGGCACTTCCTAACAGAGCATCGTCCTGGATAAATATTCCTGACATATAAGGACTTTTTGATGCAGTCTCCTTAAGGATTCATACATTACTGACTCTAACAGTTACCCTTTCACTAAATTTTGTAAACGCATTACATGATGATTGTTCCTTCGATCTCGCACTTGAGCTGGTCCCTTTGAATCAACGACGGGGATTTATTTCGGCTTATCTAAGTTCTTCTAGCACTTTTCAGGCTCATTTGCACCGTGTACCTTTCAAAAGACACTTATTATAAAACTGTAATTATGTTTGCCTAGAATACCACATTCGCCATAAGTAGTTGCATTCAGCTTGACTCATTTGGTGACCTCTTCTAAAGGTGCACCACAGGATGAATATTAGCTCTTGTTAGGAGGCACTTCGTGCGCCAAAACGAAGTGCGAGCACTTAGGTTAACAGCTAATATTATCACCAACATTCGCCTATTTAAGAAACCAACTATTCGATCTGCTGCAAGTCAACTTTTGTTACAGTTTTTATTTTGTGAGAACAATTTGTATAACCGTTTGGATATTTCAAATCAACTTTGGGGAGCCAACCAAGCCCATTCAAAGAGGAGGTTCAAATTACTTGAGAAAACTAAAGAAACACAAAAAAAACAGATTTCAAGTTAACTACGAATTTGCGTTGAAAACTACTCAATAACAATAAACTTTAAGGAATAAGAGGTGTCACTACGTGTATTCACCCAGAAGGGCTTCAAAATTTGGATCATCGTTTTGTACAAGCAAACTATTCAAATCAAGGCTGAGAAAGCTGCTTTCCTCATGTGTTAGCCACTTTGCTCAAACTATACCGTAACATACCGCGACTAAACGCGCGGAGAACAATTTGAGTACATAAACTTAGAAGATGCTGTCAAACCTCATAGAATGATTGACTCAAAAGTGTACAACCAGTACCACAACCGAAAACTCCCTTTGGACTTGATCAATACACTCTCTTGGCGAGGAGTTAGATTCGTGGAGACTATGCACTCAGCTTGTCCCAGATGTTTTTGTCCCAGTATTCTTTTAATATGACCCTTTTAGTGAACCACTGGCATTTTATTCCGACTGGAAAAGATTAAATACCTGCTAAACTTGCTCGTGGTGTACACGAGAACTTGGTCTGGCGTGAAACAACAAGTTTAGTTGGTTAGGGTGTTAACTAAGGCGGCGCGTGTAACAAGACTCCTCTTCACACCCTTTAGTTTGTTGCAGAATCAACCTCTCCGCCCTTCAATGAATTGCAGCAAATGACCCAGTAGTCCCTTGATCATTCCAGGCTTTACCAACCTGGAAAGCGGGTGTAAGACCATCAGTTGCTCCCATTGTGGTGAGATTTTGAAAGATGTTTAGCGCAAAACGAATGGCAGACCACGCAAAAAAAACATAAAATGAGGTGTGTCTCATTAGATCGGAAACTTCTAAAAATGTACCTCGGGGCCAGTGAACTGCGTCCACTCAGTATTTCGTTCTGAATGTTTGCCTAAGTTTCTCTGTGAACTCCGAGTATCAAAGGCTTCACAAATAGGCTATACATATTCACCAGGGGTACGACATTTATAAGTGTAGTACGATCCTGACTTGGCAAACGCACTGTGATGTGTTTGGGGAACATATAGATAACCAATTATGGGGAGAGCATTGTGATACCATCGCGGCTGGTATCTGCTAAGACAGATCAGCCAAGCAGTCCCCTTGCTTAAAGTAGCGGCGTCTGAATTTTAAACAGGGACAGTGTGTATGGGAATTTGAAAATATTTTTTATTTGTGAGCATTTCAACCACAGGTCACATAGGTCGAATTTGACCAGACTGAATAATTTGTTATATAACAAACGGTCAGGTACCCCTGTTTTGTTTCCGAATGCACTATTATTCTGTACTACTGCAAAGGATCAGTGAGTAATTAGTTGTAATGAATCACAAAGAAAAAAGGGATGATTGAGACAGCTGATTCTAGGTAGCGTGTAAAAATGTGATTAGGCTTTTCCGAAGATCAATAATCGTGGTAATAGCAAGGAGGTAATATGAGCAGCAATCAGCTTTGCCATCTGTTCACAGTGTACAAGATGTACGTACCCATGTAAGTACCCAAGGGGATTAGTGGTAACGGTATAGATAGAATTCGGTTTCAAGTTTTACAGAATATCCGTGAGCATGTTTGTTTGCTCGTTTTGAGTTCGTACAACACTAACCTCCCTGAGCACGCACCTCATTGAGTATGGTACTGAAATGAGTTCGCTGTACTTTCTAACCGTACTACCTCAGTGTATTCTGAGTCATTAAATGGGCCACGGATGAGGCTACAGTAGGAATTTTGACGTATTTGAGCCTAATGTTTGGTTGACAGCTCATCCGTCTCTTACATTTCTACATTAAGCATGCGAATAGTTGCTCTGAAAAACTTAAGATATACCTCAAAAGACTAGTCAGATAAGATGAACTGCAGGTCTTTATCGGTGGACGAAGAGCACAGGTTTCTCTGACACACATCTCTGTTGCTCATTCGATGGCATTACCAACAGCGAGCATTGACTAGTAAAGCGCCATTGTTGACAACCCACGTTTTTCGAATATGTTCAGTACCAAACGGCAAAATTTATTAAAAACGAAGAACGGATGCCTACAGATAATTCGGGCGCACACTCTAGGTGAGAGATTAGTATCTCGTTGTAAGTACGGACAACTAATTATTTAACTAATGGCCTGTGGATAAATAAAGCAGCCAGTAGTTTCTGAGTAAGGAAGACAAGATTGATTACTGAGTGATAAACACAATTATTCCGTGGTCTCTTACTCAAAGTACAAAAGTTTCGCCCCACGAAGCACGCACATCATCTTCATTTCAAACGGCTGAGAATGGAGAGCCAAGTTATGTCACCAGTGTATATTACCAGATAAAGCAAGAATTCATTCATTCGGGCTTGTTGTTGTGTTGCACTTTAGCTTCAGGTCTACCCCATTTATTATTCCTTCTCTGAGAAAATACTGGTCAGAAAGCAGTCTCTATAATGTAGTGCCTGTGGCCAATTGATTTTAGTAAATGTAATGTATCGAGCGCTATGACCACTTCTGAACCATCTGTCGGCACCAGTTGCACGAAAAGGCTGTAGGAACTTTCAAAAATTTAAAGTTACCGCATCAAATTCCACCTCAAAGGTAAGCTCATTGTGACCTAGCCTTGTTCGGGTGCGTTCAACTTTTTAATAATCACGTTTCAACGTGAATCAAACAGGTGGAGTCAACAAAAAAACAGCCATTATGTGGCTTACGTTCAGAGTGATGGTACTTGACCAGCTCAGCTGATTAAATAGCAGATCTTGGCTGTACTCAGCGTCTGTCTGAATTTCTTAACTGAAACAAGGCTAGCTTGGCACCTATGTTAGTTTGGATTGCATAAATCAAGCCAGGATTGGAAGGTTTCTGGTGGATTATTGTATTAGTAGTCGCTTTTTCGACATAGGCAGAAGTGGGAGCATAGTCTCTCTGTCACTCAAGGATAATCCGAATAAACAGAGTATTACCCGTATGAACAAGGGACCTAAATATATCCCGCATAGATAGCGACGTTATCAAACAGTGACGCCATAAGTAACGATGATAGCGAATGTCATTTAGAGCGATTCGGCGACACTGGGGTCTGAAGCTGGTATTAGTGATAAAAGGACCTCATCTTGTGCCAGACGGTCCAAGCCAGGTTTGAAGTTTCCAACTAGTACAATGGCATCTGATACATTTGCTGATCTATGTAGACCGTAAAGCGAATAATAATTTCGGTACTTTGAATCTCAGATTAAATCTTAGTGGGAGCGAGGAGCACGTGAAGAGGATAGCAATGTATATCCATAATACTCCCTCCTGATGACATGCAATACAATGTTAAAGTAAGTGGTTTATGAACAACATGTTTTACCTTACTGTTAACGACCTCAAAACGATTGAAAAGTTCATGTCACTCTGTATGGTAATCTGACTGATTGAAAACATTTGCTGCAAGAAACTAGAATTATTTATTACAATTTGATAAATCTCTAAATGTTCGCACGTAGTAAGATGTTCTTTGTTCTGAAATAACGATTTCATAGTCCAAATACTGTAGTATGAATTCCAGGGTGCAGCATGATGAATTGTGAATCTTAATATTGCTTTCACATTATGAACTCATTTGGGCAATAGCCTCGAGAATTTCTGCTTCCAACTTGTTCGGTCTGTGGAAAAGCTCCGCTGGCGTGGATTCCACGGTCACCATTTTCGAAACAAAGGCCTAGAATGTCAAACGAATTTTGATCATTGAAAGTGCAGAAGCTCGCAATTATGTGAACAAGTATAGAACACAGCCAAATTGCAAAACCAACCCTGAGTGATTCATTCTTTGAACTATTAAAAGTAGGTGTAATCGGTCCAAGTGCGTCTGCCGTGGAAGCAAATATAATGAAAAGCCCGTAGGCTTGGTGTTCGTGACTCTGATTCAAAAAAAGCGGATAGGAAGCCCCATTAGCAGAAAACTCAGAGACCTATACTGCAACTTAAGCGTTCTCTCAAATGAGTGTTTTTGAGGCCTTATCAAAGTCCCGTGGAAAATGCGTTCTTGGATGCAGTCTATGAGCTTCCTGCTAGTGAATAACCTCCGTTCCTGACAAACATGATCACTCCAGCAGAAATCTTTCAGAAAGGGATGTGTTGAGGGTTTCCTGCCAATGGAATTCACCAGCCGTCATGACCACATGAGTGGCATAATGGTGGGATGGTTGCGAAATGCAAAGCTATTAAGGACGAACTGTGAGTTTATGCAACAAAGTTGGTAGCAAAACGTCAATGATGAGGTATGAAAAAAGTTAGAGAATATAGATCGTCAAGAGAAATGAATGGTGTGATTGGGGTTCCGTTCAGAATTATGTCAGCAAATTAGCTTCTTGGCAAGTTCCATACATTCACACTTATTCAAGCGGAAAAATAACAATGTTTCTTGCAGAAATTCACCCCCCAATCAACTACATCACACAACAAGATGAATTTAAAGCACATCGTTTAAATGCATATATAAAAGAATCAGTGTAGTTTATCAGGTCAGAAATTAATCCCGTTATTCAACTGCCCTTAGAAACCTCATCGGTTTTCCCATCGCTTTAGTCTACCGTCTATCCAAATAATGGCCCTCTTTTAGACTGTCATGTTATCGGTAAAAATCTGTCACTGGTGTAAGTGTAAATATGAACTAAATGCATACACCCGAAATCCACTCGGATGAATCATCCGTTAGGTTGAGGGTACCTCCTTTTCCAGGTTGTATCGAGTTTAACGAGACTGGCACGTGCATACAGAAACAAGTGTTTGTTGTATCCAATCCAACCATCTCATAGGGTTGCACCTAACTTTTATTTAAACTAATCACCGAAATAGAAGTTCACTATCGTCGTGTACATAAAATTGTGTTACTCGTTTTTAGTGAGCTTTGAACCTGTGTATCTGACTGTTTAACTTCTATCTATCCAACTTGATGTACACAGAATTGTTGGACCGACTGCGTACCTTTTTGTTCAGTTGTATAACCTACCAGTTCACTGACCTCTGCCTTATTCAGTGGCATCTTTTCCTGTCACCGAACATGGCAAATCAAAACTTGGCCACAAAACTTGTGCTAGTATGTCTCACATGTCAGTTTTGTCCCCTTTAATGCCGGTGTACATCTGATTTATCTGCACATAGTCCTTAACTACGAAAATGGGCCGTGATTTGACTTCTCCGTAAGAACGACTCAAACGAAGTGTATCGGTTTGAGGTGTAATAGTTGAGGTCCCCCAACCGGCTCGTTACGGTGTTTTTGGCCCCTGTAAACCTATGGAGGAAAGCACTCAAGTAATCCCGGGAATTTCTTACTGTAATTGACCAAGCGTATACCTGTAAAACGAGTGGACAAAATGTGTGCCGAATAATGATGAAAGCCAATACTCACGAACCGTGTAGCGGTAATTTAGTTGGTATAATTTCGTACGACTGGGTAAAAAACCTATAAGACACTTCGGCTGTCAGGTATTTAACACTCCAATTAAGTCCTGAAGAAATTTCTGTAGACGAGGGACTTCGCATTTGGTTTTCATTTTCAATGTTTAAAATTTATTCGAGATGTTTTTGCTGTACTAACAAAACAACCAGAATCAGTCAACGTAGCCTCGTTGTTTAGCTAGCTATGTTTCCGTGCCTTTATTCTCAGTTTCTAAAATTCATCCAAAGACAAACAATTGGGATTTCAACCATCGACAAAAATGGTGTCATGAGAGTTTTTGAACAGAAAAAAACGTGGTAGAACGGTAAGACGAGGATATACGCAACAGCCTGAAATCCGAAGATCGACAATTCGACAAAAACTATCTGGTATGGTTCAAATAGGCGCCGTTTGAAAGCGCCAGTTGTCTGGTTGCAATTGGGCTGAAAAGATTTTCGAAAGAAGTTTCAGGTTACGGGGTGGTTTGCTGGAGTTCTTTTACCTTGCAAGAAAATGCGAAACACTAATCTGTGTAACCATAGTTGAGTGGCATAATTGCATTTTGACAAACAGATTATCCATAGCCAATAGAACTAGCCAGTCTTCTGTATTATCAAAGCAATCCATTTTGCAAGTCAGGTTTGCCTCGTCGCTGAAGTTCCAATAATATTGGATACAGCTATTTGCATTGGGGATATGATGTTGAACAGGATTGTAACACATGGTCGAAAGTGGATAATTTTGTTGAAATTTTTACTGGTTAACTTTAAAACATGGATATTAACAAAGTATTAAGAAGAAGTGAGAAGAGCAGCCACAAATCTGCAGATGGGAACACTATGAGTAAAAAATGAAGCTACTGGGGAAGAGTACCTTTAACAAGATGCAATTCAAGTAAGTCTTACCGCTGAATGAAAATACCTCGAAGCGCGGACCAAGTAGCCTCTTACTTCTGTCTAGCCCATCCTTTGCAAATTTTGAATATCTCAGGGCCTACAAACGTACACAAAATTTTCGGCATCGCCCACTCTGATACGCTAACCAAGGACGAAGTGAAGAATGAAGATAACCGTAACGTTAAAGCCCACTGCTTTACCGTTTAATACCATATTACCCACTACTGTCTAGGATAGTTTTGTTCCACCTGTATTTACGCACCAATTTATAAGTTCTTGCCTCCATTGCGCAGCTACCTAACCCCTCTCCTCAAATTATCGGTGAGCGAAACTGTGGCAGTTACAACCACTGCACGACAGCTATGTGGTCTTTACAGCTGATGAAAATGATTATTCTTCCAGCTCGGAAAGCCGTATCGAGACGGCAGTACAGTCCACGATTATAAAAGTTTGAAAGCTCCTTCCATGCGCCATTGGAAACAAGTTGAAATCAAAGTAATCAAAATAACATGAATCCAGTCTATGCCCGCATGTTGCCTTCGCTTCGTACACATAGTACGTAGGTTTCCCATTTAAAACGGAAAACAAATAGTTAAAGATCTTGTAATCAGACGAGCAAGACGAAGGAAATTTGCCTCGAAGTCAACTTACCGTCACGTTTGTTCCTGAAATATCAGTGTTATGATTGATCACCCCATCTACACATTCAGTTCGGGGGTAATTTGTTGAAATCTTGTTCACATCATCTTTGACCGTACCAGTATCAGTGGAGTCAGATGCCGTCTCACCACCATTTTGCTGTAACCCCCATTTCGAAGAGAACCCCATGCGTGACGCTTCAATAGCACTTCGCTGTTTCAACCTGGCTTCCTTTAGGTAGTTTATATTCGAAGTTCTTTTGAAGTACTCTGCCAAGAAGCCATGCCGTTGAGCTCGCGTACGTTGCGCTTCAAGTATCTGCGAGTAGTTGGGCAACAAATGAATAATTAGTTTGCATTGCTACCAACGTTCCGTGACGAACATTTTTGACGGAAAATAATTGCTAGATAACTCAAAGTTTATAGCTCGCCAGTCACAAAAATCTATAGATGGACGACGGCTAGAAAGGGACCACACCATTTGCGTTAAATTTACCATATGCAAAAAAACTTTCCTGAAATCACTCGGAAATAAGCAGGTGAGAACTTGCCAGGTTGTAAAATTCCTGTTCTCTTTCCTGTGCTTTTTCCTCATCCGTTCGAAGCAACTGTTGTTGCAAATTACAGACTGCCTCGTACTGGCGTATTCCCCAGTGTCGCAGGTGTTGCAATACCTCTGCATCTGGTGTAGTCGGACGCAACCCTTCGACCTCCATTTCGTTCAGCATTGATTCCCGTACTTCAGCATTCTATAAATTATGGAGGTACATTTGTAAGCATATAGTTCCGAGCGACCGTTGGTCTTCTATGGAAAACATAAGGTCATGTTTGACGTCATGCCTCCAGTCTTCGACGCCCAATCCGTGACTATTTTATTTATTCCTATGATCTATATTTTACTATTGTAGCCGAGGACAGTACAGGTTAGTTGGGTCGGCAGTTTGTCACTTAAGCGTAAATAAGTTTAGATCCAACAGAATGTCAATAGCAGTAAGACAAGATAACGGATAATACAGCCAGAAAATCTAAAAGCGAATGTGTTTCGTCCTAGGCCGATTAGAAGTTTGGATATATTTGAGAGGGGATAAATCCTCGCAACTACGGAATATACAAAACTTCAAAGCAACATAGGTCCCGTACTCATATGCGCGAGAGTAGCTCCGTAGAAATATTTCAAATCGCCGGATTTACGAAAAGTAAACCATGTGCCATGGACGGATATTCAAACTGCAGTTGCAATAGAACTATATCAGTCTTTCTCTTAAATCGCGCCCAGAGCAAAATGTAGGAATTACACTGAACCTTAAGTACAGTTTAACATCCGTCCCACATTATAGCAGAAAAATACCCCCCCCCCCCTAATAAAATAAGACATATTAAAATAAGGTGGTTCCAGATAGTTCCAGAATTATATTATAAACACAAAAGATTACTCATTTTAGTTCCCTTTTGAAAATTAATTCTCGGTTGGCGTGAGTCCTCAAAAACAAGTATCCATGGATAAAAATAACAAAGGGCTTCAAATATGAACAAGTCTTTTGCCCGGAAAATCATTTTTGAGACTTTTATTTTAAAGTTTCGACCATTTTGCACCCAGCATAATCATGCTTTTTCTTTTTTTTGCAAACTTCCGACGCTCATCTTGCGTTGGTGGCAGGCATGTAGTTAGGGTAAATACCTTGACACCACAGAAACCGCTAAATTCTCCTCAGTGCCTTTATGTTGAGTGTTGCATAGGGAAAGGGCATGCTACACAAAATAATGATGATACTGAGCTTTAGATTTGAGAAAAGCCTGAACGGAATTTTCTAATCTTATAGCAACCCTTTCAAGAGTCTTTGAAGATGATGAGAATGTATCACAATTCATTTAAAAACAGCTGACCAGTTTTAAGTGGCCTTTGACGAAGACATCAATTTGGAGAGCGCTCACAACGAAGTATATTTTAGTGTCTTAAGGTGCCAGAGCCGATGGGCGTAAACGAAGTTCTCCAGAAATTACCACAATGAAGTTGGGCGTCTACCATTGGAATAGGTTCTGAATCTTATGCAACGGAAAGCTGAGATGCCTTCGTGTCGTACGTAGAAAAACAGTCAGACAGGACTTCTTCAAAAAAGAGTATGAAAGGTGGTTAGAAGATAGCTTTACTTGGAATCAACCCCAGTGCTTAGTGGGTGATGTGGCGGAGGCATAGCTACTTTTGTAATTCTGTTGAAGGATAAATTAGGCTTTGGTTGGAATACCTTAATCTACTGAATACTGTATGTTAACGTTACGCTAGAGTCCATTCCCATTTGAGAATATTACGAGGAAGCATTTATTTTGTACCCAGTAATATTTGAACTGAAATTTTGAACTGCTGATGTTTGACCAGTCATCAAGAACAACCGGAAGACTCTGTTTTTCGAATCCTTCCTGGTCAATTAATCGATCTCCGCCCTGTCATAAATGATGAGGAATTTTGGAGAAAACATCAAGGGTAGCATAACCGGTTCATTCTTGCTTAATTGTCCGTTCTCTCCGTTCAGTCTTTAAAGTAAAGGAAGTTTTGGATTAAGGCTCACATGTAGCATGAATCTTTATAATTTTTTCATAATTTATCGTGAATACTTGCAGAACAACCTGTAGTCGATAAAAGTTACTCGATCCCTGGCGTTTTGGTGGAAAACGCTACTTGCATGTTCATCCTGGTATCAAGGTAATATTTATTCTTAGCATCATTGTGCAAAGCGGAAGTTCCAATTTGCTGTCCAAAACGTCGACCCTCTGATACCCGAATATTTCATCCCTCCGAGTTTCGCGAACTTTTCTGTCTGATCAATTGGTGTAAAGTCATGCAAACTAACATGGACCACGTTGGCAACTTCGACCTAGTTAGTCTCCTAACAGGTTCCACTCCCTCTCACATTCAGTGTGGAAACTCGCACAAGTCTGACTATGGTGAATTGTGGCAACTGATGAATAATTTCGGCTCCGTTGAATACCTAAGGCTTGACTAGTTGACGCTGAAGAACGAACCTCGTGGGAAAAGGAATCAAACATTTGTGGTCATATGAATCATACATACTATAGTAAACCAGTTGGTGTAGGTGAAAACGTTTGTTTAAAAGCTGTGTTTCGGTTCTTCTCTTTGTTAGGTTACTTAATGAAAGCTCAGACTCTGAAATTTAGTTCGGATAAATTGAAGGTCTGTGATCTTTTATATTACGATGCTGTAAATAATCGTTTAGCTATATCACCCTTTCAGTGCTTAGCTGCCATACCGACGGAAGGAACCACGAACGCCGGAATACTGTCAGTTTGCCAAACCTCGGACGGAAACCATCGAGACGCTGAGGTTGGGCTCGAACCACCGACGTTCCGGTCCGTAAGCTGGTGCCCCAATCACTGAGATATCGCAAACTTATTATAAGAGTGCGAACAACCTATCTATGTAAGAAAAACAAGGTGTTTTGATCAAGGAAATGTTCCCATGCAATAGTGCTCAACTAACAAGAATCATCAGATCAGGCTGCGAGATCAGTGGAAATAAATAAAAGATACACGGTTCTAGCAGCGAAGCAGATTCTCGTCAGTAATCAGTAGTCAGTTCTAATGAACCCTGAAGCTCACGCACAAGAGCTTATAGATGAAGGTTCAGCTGGATAAGGGAAAAAACGTTCATGCATCGCAATAATTTGGATTAAAATGCACCAAAACCAGTACTGACTGCTACTGAATTTCCAAATCAAATTTAAGGCGAATCCATCCTTGTTCACCGATTGGTAAGTGAAATCAAAGCTCCCTCCACGAAGGAGTGGAAAAAATCAGTTGCACAGGGTATCTATGAAGAAGCATTAGTTGCGATGACAGAAAGTTATCAGACTGTTACAACTGTGCCAGATACCAGAACCAATTTGTAATCAAGACAGACACGACATCAGTAGTTAAAAATCACCTCGTTGAATGATGGGACATACCGCTGTCACAGAAACCCGAATAATTAATTGATCTCATCAATAAAGGTATGATGTATATTATTCGATTGGGCCAGTGTATATCCCGTCACCCATGTCAGTGGCCAAAACAAACCTATTCGCTATCAGCGAATTCTCCCGATTCATAAGGCAGATAATTGACGAGATAAGCGCAGGAATATTTTAAATATCTTGCTTGCACGTAAACTGAAGAATATTTCTTTGATATTGCACTCACCCATTACAGACACCGAAGCCCAATTCGCAGTGCACACAGCGAATGATGGTCCTGCAGTTTATAATTATCCAGTGAAATTCGGTTCCTTCCAAGTATCAATGACTCACGACCCTTGGATGCCTCTAAAATATCCGAGGAGTTTTCAATATGTTTATCGCCCTAAATTTGAATGGTAATAGCTTTTCGGTCTATGTTACATTTCCCTGTGATCCCTAGTGACTGATTAGACTAACGTTTCTATACTGTTCCAAAAAACAATAACCTGAACATCAAAATAAAGATGGAATCACTTATTTCCTCCTGCAGAAGCGTGTTTAGTTCTGTGTTCCAAATAATGAACAGCACAAGACTACGTCAGATTCATTTACTTCGGGTGCGGTTCAGAAGCCTATTTTACTTCAAAGTAAAGTCGACGAAGTAGTCTACTGTTTAGACATTTACACGCTTATTAGTTTATTCGCGAGAATCACTTTAACACAAAAAACCAGCAACATACGACACCGATTCCGCTAAACAATAGAATAGTGGGTGTATTACGGATATTTTGTGCACCAAACCAATGTTGGTTATCGATGATATTCCGGAATTCTCCCATGGATTGGTTTCAATGTTTGGGATAGCTGTTCCGGAATATTAGCAGTACCACAACATTTTGATTGTATGCCACACTATGTGCCCAACTAAGTTATTTTATTTTTGGACACTCTGAGAAGAATGACATCAGTATTTCAGAGGCTGTGTCGCAGCGTTTTTTCTTCAGGTGGCGTCTAGGCTCAGGTTGTGCAGCACCATAAAATTGAGGGACCAAATGTCGTGTTTACAGAAAACAAGACGTTTGCTAATTTCAGCCGACAACATACTCGATTTTTCTTAGGACATATTTACTGCCGCGTTGAAGGAAGACCATCTCCAAACAAATGACTTTCCACTGTTAGATGTGCTTTTATCAGTGCGAAAGTTCGGTGAGTGAAAGGCCCAGTTAACTTACACCAAGTAGTTTTGGTAATACTTTTGAGCGATTTTTTGGTATTTGTCAAAATACATGGTCAAATTTCCACCGTAATCCTGTCTCATGCAAAGTCTCCGATAACCAACTAGACTCTTAATATTGGCCACCAGACTTGATATTGGCGTCCATATAAATGTCTCTGGACTGGCCAGGCTTTGTCAGGCTTTTGTTGGACTTTGAATGTCGCTCGTTCTCTAGACAAGTCTTCACAATACGAAGTGATGGGAGTACTCATGAAAAAATTGAATGAGGATGGTTACATTATCTCCCGATGTTCTCAGTTTGAACATGCAAACTATCATCTGACACCTGCCAGTATTTTATATCGCTGTTATCTTAAATATGCTCGGGTCTTTCTCATAAGGCGTCTGGTTGGATTTCAAGAGATGGATCAACACCGGATCTTTACTTGTCCTGAACGACACCTGAAATAACCTGATGACAGATTAAAGTCTTTCAGTAGCCTATCCTTCGGCATGAAACACGAAGATTCCCATATTTCGTAGATCTTAAATTAGTACTTAGTCTGTTGATTTTCGAGATTCCGAAACATGTGATCGGCAAGATCTTTCTTGGGATAAGAATTCTATCACTTAGAATTCAAGTTCTTCGAGGGAAAGATTTTACCTCCTTTCTGGATCAAGGAAAGTTCCAAAGTGAAACGAATGAGAGAAATAATATTTTTATTATGCTCACCTTTATGTGGAAATATCGCTCAATTCTGCACATAGTCACTCGATCTTGAGTTGATAAATTTTCGTGGTCCTGGAACCCCTTCTTGTAAANGCTCAATTCTGCACATAGTCACTCGATCTTGAGTTGATAAATTTTCGTGGTCCTGGAACCCCATTCTTGTAAACAGCGCGTAAATGTTAATTCGGAGCCTATCGTGTCCTGCTGAAGTCGGAGCAGTGCATGATGAATCTCGACTTTTTTGACTATCCAGATCTGGTGAACCTGCACAGAAGACAAATAAGAAGTGCGCTGTAACTGAAGATAGTTTTATTATAAAAGCTTAAGAACAGAATCTTGTCTGTTTGTGTACGCCTTAGTGCACTATAAGCACTTTGGCTTTCAAAATCCTGTTGGTACATTGTATCCAAAGCTTAACTAATAATTTAGCAGCTGACGCCTTTGTTTACGTAGTGCCGTGGATGTCTTGTATAAATTCTTTGGTGTTGTTCCTGGAGCTATGTGTTGTTCTCTGCATATATCACAAGCTGCTTTGGACCACGAGATGCTCCTTTCCATCATCTTGTTTCGAAAGAAAATATCAATTCATATGGCTGACAAACTCTAGTGAAAGACCCTTATGCTCGTAAGCTGCAACGCCAACCTCAAATATGAGAGCACAACAAGCCTTGAATTTGAAAACCTCCTATTTGGAACTAGTTACTGATTTTTACTTATAGCCTAAACGTTATGAGATGAAGTGATTAACAGTGTTTGAACTAACCTGCCTGTTGTGAACCCTGATCTGCATCAGGTTTTTAGGGACTTGGCAAGGTACCTCTCAGATAATGCGTAATTATGTGAAAATCAATCAAGTTCTGCAGCCCAAAGTTACTTGAAATTTAGAAAACCTTAGTTTAAATTTGGTGATTCAAGCAAATTCCTCCATCTCCATACCTGTACAGCGGTGAATACAAACGATTACATCTTAGATGCAAACTGAGGAGCCCTCCTCAGGTCTTAAATGCCGCAAACCTACACAACAAACCTTTACGCGTGCATCCGCAGACAACTATGCTTATGGCAAAGCATTGATAAAGGTATTGAGAGTATGATCCACCGTTGCAAAAATGTATTGTGGCCCATAAAGGTGCATCTCGATGGAGTAGACGCAGCCCCAGAACGCCTCCATGTTGACTTTGCGGACCCTGTCATAAGATGGGGTCGTGTGACGAGAATCAACAAATTTTCAAAATACCACAGGCAATTGCGATGAGTTTTGCGTCTTTTAACAACTACCAACTTTTTGGTCTCTAGTCCCCCAAACGAAATTTTCATATTTATGTAGCACTAACAGACAGAGCACCTCCGTAAACTAGTGTGCTATCTATGGCCCTATGACCAGGTAAAACCTTTTTTGGATGTACTCAAGGTAGTTCTTTTAAAACTACAAAATGTGACATGCTGGGAAAGCTTTTAGTAATTTAACGCACCACCCTAAACAACCAAGAAATTTAGCAGCAATCACCAGCCAACATTATGCGGAAGATGTACCAGAACTATCAAATCTAGATGTTGACACAAATATAGCAAAATATCGATAGCTATGTACTGCTGATTCACCCAAGGTCAGATTTTTTTATCTGCAACATCACAGTTTAAAAGAGGTTGGCGTTTGCCCCTGTATGTTTCCAAGGTGTGCGATTATATTTCACCAGTTAGTCTAACAATGCCCTTATGGCTTTTGAAGCTCGCAACTTATGCGTGCATTCAATGAACTTACTCTGTAAGGATTTGTATTCTAGTACCAGTCAGTAACAGAAATTACGGCAATGTGGTGAAATGTTTGGAAACCCTAGAGCTTCTATTCAGTCTGAAGAGCTTATCACCAAGTTGCGGAAAAATCAGCGTTGGTTGCTTCTGGTTCTAATCGTCAGGAACGACAGGTTGATACTTCCATTTTCCTATGCGTCCTCAATGAAGGTTTGAGCAGCTTAGATTGCGAATTTGACAATAAAGAAATACGGTCATCAACTTGATGCTATGTGTACCGGAAATAAGGTGTTTTTAGAGATGGCATCACTCACCGAATCCGGTATGTGTTAACAGTGATCGTAGTAGCTACAGGATGCTATCAGTCGCGAAGAACAAACAATACTAGTCAAATCTAAAGCTCATCTATTATTGCTCCCACGATGCTATCATAGGTGAATGATTTCCGAATACTCGATGAACAAAAGTGTGACATAAGTATGTGTCACTACTGCAACATGTACGCAGCTTATACAACTGAAGATAATGATGATTATGATGATGATGATGATGGTGAATTGGCGGGCTATTTTTGGTGTTGGCAGTATTCCTTATTTCTTGAATTTGGTTGAATTTTACTCCGGTGTGGTAAATACTCAGAACTGTTGGCGCTACGGGGATTGTTTGGCTTAATTTTAGTTTAACCGGGCTTTTGACAAAATTTGCAGTTTACGCTGACACCTAGCAGTGGTGGTAATTCCAACCGCAGTGACAGTGCTCAGTGCATTCGTGGGGGAAGAGCACTCGCTTACCAAAGCATGGGGTAACTGCGTGCATGGTCTTCTCAGATTGTTGATGAAACCTGCGCTCACTGCTCTGCTCCAGCCATACTTTTTTATAGTACTAGGGCGACAACGGGAGAAAACAAACCACTCATTTACAAAGCAGTTGAAGCTAATTAAGGTTTGCTAGTGAATCGTTCAATTTCGGGGTTGTTCAGTCAAGCAAGTATTCGGAAGTCATCCTCAGGCCAATTTAACCGATATTTAGTAGGAATAGTTTCCTTCTATGGCATTCACTGCTGCTCAGCATATCTGTGCTAACGGATAGTGATTAGCTAATATGGACAAAAACTCAGTGCCCACTGAAGTTTTACTACAGAGGGGCCGAAAAAGGCTTGCTTGTTTCCCCTTTCCAAACTCCGTAAACAGCTTTCTAGCTGTATAGTGATTTTGGTTAGTAAGCAGTAATCTAAAAATGTCCACTGAAAATTATGCCATACGATATGATGCAACAATACAATTCGTGTCCACTTCAGAAGTCTGGTAAAAATGCCCCTGGGCTCCCAATTACAACTTTTACATACTCAGCGAATTGAACGATCCTTATGGCGCCAGGGAAAACGAAAAAGTAAGGATTTGGTTATAAACCCGGGGTTACCAGTCGTGCAAATGGCGTCCCATTCAGCTGAGTTTAAAGATTTGCGTAATCAGAAAGCGACATTTGGGTGCATAAGGATTTTTGTGACTAACGTCTCGAACCGTGGAGGATTCAGTTCTCTTTTTAGAACTCAGGTGAATGAAGCAGGACCGGTCAGATGACACACTGATTATTTTTTCAGAAAGCCAACCGAAACATCACACAGTCACTAAGCACACCTCGCTCCGTAGGGTTGGCGACCGGAAATTTTCAATATTCAACCTGTGCGATAAATTTACTGCTTTGAGGTCTTCAAGGCGTTTTTCCCTAAAATACATACCGAATGACCGCCTTATATCTTGTATTTGAGAGATGACAGACACGGTACGGGCCATAATTAAACTAGTCCCTCATAGCTCATCTTCTGTACCGGGAAGGAAAACTGTTTCGAAGTTTGGACATTGTTCCTTCGCACCACCGTAATTATGTGTGGAAAATATATCTCGAAACTGTTCACCGAGTACGCCATGTGCACATATAGAAGTTTTGAGATTTATGATCATTGTCGTTTGAATCAAACTGCAATACCATTAAAATGAACGACAAACATGAGATCAAGGAACAACCTCAAATCGTTGGCGCTGTTTTGATGGAGTGCCAGCCTATTCCAGAAGTGTGTACTAGAATCTTTTGTAAGTAGGTAAAGCAAAACATAGAAAAAGCCTCACCAACAAATCAGATGTATGTTCCAATGTTGGTTCACCTATCAAGATCGTGGAATTTTTAAAGAAATGAAAAAACTCACTCTCCAATTCACTACCTGGCTCACATTGTAAGCAAAAGGGCTCGGGTTCCAGCCAGCGCCATAGGTTGCACAATAACATTGGAAGGGTTGGTCCACAGGCCGCTGAGGTAAATTGACTAATACCGGTAGCATTCCCATTTCTCAGAGCATGCTTGCAAACCGCCTGCGACTGGAAATTAAAGTTGCATTCGTTTTTTCGATCATCACTGCAGAGCGGCCTACAACCGCACCAAGCCAAAAGTCGAGGCACATACTGCGGGTTTTCAGTCAAGTCAACCAGACATCCCAGCAACTGACTGCATATTTCGTTAGGGTACCACTGGTGAGGAAGTAAGAATGCAAAACAGGGAACTGGATAATCTATGTGCATTTGTTCCCTTAGGCATCGATGATCTGTACCTGAATATTCTACAATCCCATACCGGGATGGTTTAACTTAAGCTTTTTGTTATTCAACTTAATCAAAGGCTGGTTTTGTAATGATGCACTTTCGTTTGAGAACAATATAGAAAGATCAGCTGAATGTGGTCGCTCATTGGTTTGGCTTCAGTTACCTCAGGACCAACGAATTTCACGAATGCAAGCTAGGGAATATTATCTGGCACGCGGATGATTTTAAGCTGAAAAAGACCGAAAGTCATTGTAGCGGAAGGCAGCTGGAAATATAAGGGCTCCAATTAGAATGAGAAAATGCAAATGTAATTATTGCCTTCAAAAAACCTACTGTTCAAACTGACTTCGTATTGACAAATCAAGCGATAGATTAAAAAATCTACTAAAATGTGGGTAGAATCAAGTAGAGAGCAGAGAGAACGCCATTAACTCTGGCACGAACGGATGAGCAAAACCCGTTCCGAGTGCAAATTAACCATAAAGTTCGAAGGGCAAAGCGTGCACAAAATCAGTCTTAACCGAACTTTGATACGCGTTTGTTTTTCAAATGACTAATAGCTCTATAACGTTTGAATTACTCAAGGAAAAATCCCTACCTTAAAAAAAGGTTCTGACCGAGCCACCTGTGTTCCCTTTGCCATCTTATTTGACGAGCAACATTTCTTCGCTCACTGCACTATACGAACAAATAGTACAGACTATTCTTTATCTGACAGCGCACTATGCAACGATGACCGGATTGTTGTGACAGCTAACGCGATACTTGGGAGCTCTCTTTCCAGTCTAAAATATGAAAACATGTCAATACGACAAAATTTGTTAGCTTTTTTATAACCCTGGCAGGTAATGTCTTAATGCCTATTTGAACCAATAAATCAATAAAAGATGTAAAAAAGCGCATGTTTCTTCTTGACAACTTGTACGGGCGTGGGCAGAATATTGTAGATAATAAGAATCATCGTGGAGCTCCAATAAACCATGAAGTTTCACACAAAAATATCAAGCACACTGAGGTCAAATGGTGGTCACTTCAACGCGAAAGCGCCAGTCCCTTATGAGTCTTAAGAAAATATTTTGAAGTGCTATATACACTTGTTCTATTCCTGATCATGACTCCACAAATAAATAAATTTTAGGAGGCAAAAGTAAACATAGAGCTTCCTGCATTCGTTTATGTTGGGACGTTTGTCAGGGAAATATAAAATCTTGATTAACTCACCTCTAATAAATCGAGCAGCATCCTCAAGCCTTGGTTGGACACAAAGAACGCTTCCGATTCGGGACATCTAATAACGCAGCACCAAATTGCATCCACAAGCATAATAGCCAGTTTTACCACTGGATGGTTTGAAATCAAGAGGCTGTTGTCGACATCGCTGTGATTGTTCGAAAATGAATTACAAAGGACACCCTGGCCCTCAAGTTTCTTGAGCCTCTGGGGTAACGAGCTTAGTGTCAAGAGCAACATATCCGTGCCCTCATTTCCGAATAGTTCCTTTCTGTAATGCAGAAAATTAGAGTGAGGTAGTATAAATGATTTTTTAATGATAAGTAGAATAACTGGTTTTGCAATATAGCAAACGATCTTTGAGAATTCTTAAAGTAAAGCGGAGTAGTGTGAGATCTGCATGTAGTGAGTGCGTTCCAGTATAAAGCAAATGTAACTGATTAGTCCCCAATAAGGCTGGTTATCTCCATTTCATGCCAAGTTTCACATCCCAAACAAATAATATTAAGGGTCGAGATTTCGTTTCCTGTACTGATGGTGCCTTTGGTTTTACCGAATGTCTAAACAAAGACTTTGTACTTTTTTCATCGGTGTGTAACTTATTCGTTCTCGAGGTTAGGTTAAAGGAATTTTCATAAGGCCACTATAAATAATGAAGAAGGCGATCATGGTCAGAAATGAGAAAGCCGGCAACCGGTTATCTACTTTCATCCTTGTCCTTCAAGTAATTGAGGACATCGACTTATCTAAAACCTAGGTCGGGTTTTTGGTGCAACATATTCAACTAAAGCATATGGTAGACGGGAGGCTCAGGTAAGATGCAACGGAGTTTGTCATCAGCGCCACTTTCAACTGAGACACAGTATTTTTATCCCTACACTACCATTATCGTTTGAATGAGTGATCGTAAATTCCTGGGTATATGTTTCCCAAACTAAACTAAGGGGTTAAAATCTCATTAGATATAACAATCTGTGAACATGCCTCCACAATCAATAGGCCTTTTTCAGTTTTATGAAAGGTTGCCTGTTGGAACGGAGGTAATTTTCAAAAGCTGCTTCAATGAAGCACAAATTCGCGCATTCCACTGCATTGTTCCATGCTCTTGTTTTGGTTTAGGTTATTAGCTCTCTTACCCAAATCTCATCTTCATTCACCTTATTCTCTCAACTACCCACAGATACCCTAACTCTATTTAGCACAATTTTAACTTTATTTATGGGACGGTTGCCCATAGTAGGTGATTTCTTATGCAAAGTTTAAGATTTTTGCAGCTAAAATTGGGCTACAAAATCTGTCAGATAATGTGTGTCTGATTACTGATCTGATAACTCCAATGCCTCTTAGCTCATATCAACTTTTCTCTCCGCCAACAGTGGAAGAATTGAATCACTACATGGCTGTCAAACTGGATCACTAGGCTGTGAATTTTCTTCAACACCCACAATCCGCTTGCTTTTTGATCCAAACCTGTGCAGCATGTTGCGGGCTGGTTTTTTGTGACTCCAAACTCTCCATTCAAATTATTTCTTTCTCGACTTAAACTGTAGCATTTGGTGACGACTTGCAGCAGATTTTCAGTGTCTTCAACTAATCGTAATGTGTCCTTTCCTCAACTTCATTCAGTTTCTCTGTCTGTTTCATTTTCTACCCGAACAATGCTGCCACTCATTTTGTGTCTGTACTAGAACAGTGGGGAGTAAACATGCCAATTGTTCGCCTTATGTACAATGAATTTTTAAGCCCTGAATCATGTCGCCAACTTCTTTAACAGCACAGTAATCGTCAATTAGTACAGGACATTGCGAGTTAAATTTCACTGTTTCTGGTTGTCCGCACATTCTGCACTGGTATTTCTACAATACCCTTGTCCAGTATGGTCCCATTTCCCAAAACTGAGTGACTGGTTTGTCAACTCCAAGTCGATCGCAATGGAATATTGAAAGTACCATCGAGGGCCACTTTTGTTTTTGCATTTGTCGCACCTCAAGTTCTAAATACGAACAATGATGCTTTGTAATGGGAGAGGGCTGAAATCGTTACTCCACTTTTTGCTGCCGTATATCTACTCGTAACCGATGTGGCTTGTCCGTTGTGACCATAAGGAACTTCTACTTCATCCGTTCTCCCAAAACATGAGAAATTTCCGGCCTAGTGTACACTTAGAGTTTTCTGCTGTTAAATGGTGCTCAACTCATCAATGATATTGTACCAGCTACTACACGCCTGAATCTCTCTTTCTTGAACAGTCTCCCCTTCAGTCACAACGGTCAGTTTGCCTTAAGACCCTTGGTCTATGTTCGTCAAACACCTGCTGCGTGATCTTGAAATCACTACCTTCGTGTTATACCCTCATAGTGAATTTGGCAGCTACCACCAGATCGCTAATTTTCAGGATTTATCGTTCTCGATTAGCTTTTTTTGTCTGAAAATTGAGCGATTTTGATTTTTTGGTCGATAATGCGATCGAAAATTACAGATTAAATGTCAGAAGTACCGCATTCTAATAGTAAAATCGACGCTTTTACGGCACATACTGCTGCATATTATCTTCACAAATTCTTGCCAGTATAAACAGAATGTCTGACTGTATTTCCAGATCAATGTCGTCCACTTCAAAGTCATCTTCTTTCGACAGCCTGGAAGTTTGACATCCTTCCCCTCGCTGTCCTTGCTGAACTGCTCTACCGCGCCAAGAAGATCGGAGAGGGTTACCAGAAACCAGTAAGTGTACGAGGTCCTGGCCAATAAAACTCTGAATGAAAAAATCCAAGATCAGTTCCCATTCTTAGTTTATTGGAATTTCACATCTAACCTGACATGACACTAGTTAAAAGTTGTGCATAGTGGATATACCAACAAGCAAATGGTGCTTACAGGTTTTGAAAAATTGGACGTTTCTCGTATAATTTTCAAGATTTAGATTTAAGCCTGTCTAGCGTTTGGTGGAAAAGATACTTCGTCATATGACTCTATTGTGAGAAGTCACATAATTTGGCAAGATACCAAATTAGTATGCCTGATTTGGTACCAGGAAATATCGAATAAAGAAAGAACCCAACAATCAGTGTGGCGTGTCAGCGTTATTCTGCAGTCACGTGTGGTATCATTCCACAGCCTAAGTCTAAAGACGTTCTCACACATGGGAATATCCATTCATCAGACAAACAGCCGCTCGCTAATTCGTCAGATCAAAAAGGCTGTTATAGTGTTGTTGCACAACAAATCCAGTACGTTTATTAGAAATGATTCATTCAGCTCAGTATTCACCTGGTGATGTCTGCATGACGGAAAATACGTTTTTGGGGAGAATAATTATAATTCTAGGGCACAGTGGCAATATAATCTCTAGACTTAGCATTTTTGCAGAGCCGATAAGGCTCTGATGCTTTTGAAGGAAATCCGGACATATAGCGCGGACCGTTTGCTGCGTAAATATGAGGTGTTAATTGGGGATGGTTAAGTCGGAATTTGATCTACTGTCAAAAGTGTTTGCCGACAAGGATGACTCGAAACCAGACAGCGAGGTGGGTACATACGAGAAGCGTTACTACGTCGAGAAAAAGTCACTCATAATACAACCAATAAACCTTTCTCCTTCCAGAACCTCGGCACATTGGTATCTAGGTCCGTGTTTTTTTTGTCGGAATTGCGTGAGGGCAAACGTGATCATACCGAGAATAAGTTGGATCCTCAAAGTGCACGCCCCTCCAAGAAATGTCATTATATTTTCGCTAGATGTTTTGGGAATGACTTTGAATTTCTAATAATCGTCGCATGTGTTTCAAAAAGATTATTATCTTCTCAACAAATTTCAGAACAAGAAAGCAGCGAAACTGATCTCCTATCAGTGACCCACAACACAACCTATAATCATTTGCAAACAAACTGGATTTTTCGAGAGATCCACTTGGAACTCAGCTCAATCTCTCGCTTGCGATGTTTTAAGCAGGAACCTAGTTTGTTTTTGATGGGGCAAATATCACGTTCTTAGTCGCTTGCACAACTGGTAACTGCATCTGGAAATTGCAGGAAATGACCGAACAGAAGGATCTCTTCTCAGGGGGTCCCATACTTAAATGGAAACTTCGGGGCTTCATAAAGTGGCGTTTTGAATTGTCTCGTCACAGTTACCAAAATCTACGTGCACTTGCATTAGGTTCTACCACACTCGTCATAATGGACTGGAGTCCAGTGGAACTGGCAGAAGATAGCCGTGTGATGTGAGAGTGAGTCACAGGAAACCACAAAATAAGTGCTCTGACACCTTGACTCTGTTATCTCGTTTCATCATTTAAAAACAAAAACGGAGGTCTCGTTTGAAGCCAGAGCATAAATATCATAAAATGTGTTTCATAGTTTGTCCACAACTGCGTTCTTATCATGATTTTCAGGCTAATCCCTCTTGATGTCTAGCCATTTGCAAACCCATTGGAATGTGATATCGAGGTATAATCCAAGCACCAATTAGGGACGGTTCAACCTGTTTTGGGATTTAACCAAAGAAGTCGAAGCTCTCAATTTTACTTGGGAAGTCTATCGAATATTCAGAAATTTATTCGCATATCCCGTTGCGTTGTTTAAGTAGAGTTTGTAGCTCAGAAACACTAATCTGTCCGCAAGTTTAGTTGCTCTTTGTGGTAATAGACCCTTGAGGGCAGAGTACTGCGTGCTCAGAAATGCTACTTTGCCCAATCAAATCAGATAGCCCCGTCCAAGTGGCTCACAACGCCTAAATAGACGTGAAGTACCCTAACTGCGATGCCCTAAAAGCACAAACAGTCCGTGTAACCATGATGGATTATTAGGCTGTGTGTGAACTCGTGGCGATTGTATTGTTGGTACCCTTCTGCGGTGTGAACATTTTACCCACAGTCTATACTTTTGTTGGCCATTTGCCTTGCTGTGTCAATATGAAGTAGATTGTGTATATAGCTGTTTTTACGTATGTTAGGAACCGCCGTGAGTTGAGTGGTGTGTAAACTGCACAGTTTGTCAAAATCTGTCCCATTTCGGTTCAAGTAGAACATAAGGTTGCGGAAACTCGGGGACAACCCCTAAAGGATGAGCCCCGAAAAGGAAGAAACCAGTCGTTGGCTACCAAAGATTTTTCAGCAAGCATACAATAAATGTGCTCTCTTAGAAAATATCGCATTCAGACTTGTGAAGTTTCCCATTTGAAGTGAGTAAACCGTGATCATGTAGCTGGATTAATAGAATTGAAACAGCTCTGCCGCTGTATTTTCAATAATCTTGAAATATGTCTGGTTTACCAGGATAAAAACGTCCTTGATATGATTCCATTAGTTACCGTAAAGTATCTGAAGGCATTGTTAGGGTAAATACAGTAACCCATTCTTCACCACGCGCTTCTCACCTATGTGTATATCCGAACATTTACCGGTTGAAGTGCTGTGCAACTGCTGTGGCAAATGCTCTTACACAGCTTTATTCTTCTTACATCTTCTGGCATGTTCTTTTATCAGAAGCACCCTATTAGAGCTATTCTCACAAGTGGTAAGTCTCTGAATTTGTTGTATCTGAGGGATTGAAATTCTCATAAGGATTCATATGATGGCGGTCCAGTTGCCGTGTTCCTCGGTCAATGATTTTACGGACTAGTTGTGAGTATAAGTAGAAGGTTGAAAAGTTATGTACCATTAAGTTCTCTAGGTGTAAAACGTAATCAAAGCAGTCATCATCAAGGAAGATGGAAAGAGATTTGGTTTCTAATACGAATAATGCCGGGACGAGCATCAGAGGGATCCATGCAAAAACAGAGCCAAAGAACACGCGGCATTGATAACTACACTCTCTTAATGGCACAAACGCGGAGCATCAGAGATAACCTCAGTTTCTTTTTTAGTCAAGGGAAGTCAAAAGGTAGATGTGGGGTTCGAAATACGCACCTTCCGGTCAGCAAATTCGGGCTCCAACCACTGAGCCATCTTACACCTCTTCGGATTCCCGATACAGTGGTCATTCTAACGTCGAAAGAGATCGTTATGGAGTCCTACACCGTCAGGACACAAGCAAACGTATCAAAATCCCTTGAGTCATCAAGGACGCAATTAAATACAAAAGTTGATGGTTAATTTTGGGCAATAAGAGGCAGAACCTCGGAATTTAGGGCTTTTGAACCTGGGCTTTGGGTGTTGTTAGATTTTTCCACACAGATTTGAAACAACCATGCACAATGCTGGATCAATCCAGTGTCATCAGATGAAATGTGGCAGTGTCCTTCGGTTTCTTTAATTGCTGCCATGGATATGCACTGAGTACGTTTAGGACAGTCTCTTCCCGTCATTATTAGGCTCCCAAATTTTAAAGGCAATTTTAAAGACAATTTTAAAGGCGCAGAAATAAACTACTTGATGGAGAAGGAACCGTGGTATATTATCTTGATGTTTACTTAAAACTAGAATAAAACTAGATATTCTAGGCGAGTAATAGAGTACCAATAAGAGATATAGGGGCTGTTTGTTGCTTTCGACAATGCGACACACTTTGAAGTGTTATGGCTTTAGTAGATGAAGGTTAGTAGTAAAATAGTAAAGAGGCATGCACACCTGAAAAGCACCGAGGAGTGAGGTGATAGGCGAGTGTAAGAAGTTTACGGAATAAGGTAAAGCAATTTTAATGATGTTGTGGATACATAGTGCATCACAACGTACTTTAATAATTCTCTCGTCTTTGGCGACAATTAAACTTCGAATCAAACGCAAGGTGTACCGCATTTGAGCGCGTCTAGTATGACGTCCGCCGGATCCATGGAAGCTGTTACCTTGTCCAACAAAATCGCCTGGAAGGAAGCAAAAAAAGGGGTTTGGTGTTCGTAGTTTACCGCAGTTCAGTTGCTCAGAAGTTTGCGCAATTCTTGTGCTTTCCATCCTCATTATTTTCACGTCGGTTGTAGAAGTACTGTTACTTTTCTTATTTTCGAACAGCAAAACATGAGCCAGTCGTCGTGTCTATCAGGAACATAGGCTCCATTAGTTACGTTAAATCTAACCTTTCTGTGGTTTGATATAATAAACTGATGAGAAAGATGCCATGGTGCTTCGAAGTCGACCAATGCTCGGTCCTTAGGTGAACCCTATCCAGTGCTTAAAAAGCCCCATCTTAGTGCACGGTAAATTCATTCCTGACTGAAGTGAACGTGCGGTTGACGGTCTGCTTACAAGCACATGGTACGATTTTAACTACACTGCCTCACATACTTACCTGCAGTCTGACACCAATTGAGCAAAGTTGCCACCCGGTTCGGTCCGTCGTACAGCAGAAAATCATCCGGTAATATTGGACACAATATAGACATGGCATCCAAAGCGTGCAACTGCAGCTCTTCCATGAATGCGACTGGCCACTGAGCAATGGCATCCAGTCTTGCGTTGCATATGCTAAGCGACTTTCTTGGTGATTCATCGATCGACAGTTCACTAAGTTTAACGCTGCCAGATGGATCATTTTGTGAGGTGTTTTCTGCGGAAGCGCTGTCTGTCGATCCAGTTTCTAGATTAATTTCGTTTTTACTGTGGTTTTCTTCTCTCTGGTTAACTTCTTCGTCCAAATCAGAGACTCTAATTTTTGAAGTCGGGTAAGCCCAGTCAAGCAAGGCGTCGATCACCTGTGTTTCGGACAGAATCTAAAATGTAAAGAAAAACAGACGTGCGTTTCGGAATATTCAACGTTTATTTACGTTGTCAGTACTCATATCTCTAAGCTAAGGTGCCACTAAGTGATTGTGCGATTCGGTCAGTTGATCCATAGGAAGCCGAAATTTTACACTATGTTGTTAATGTGAAAGGGATTTGTTTGACACCCGTACTAGTTCAAATAAGGTCAGCTCCTATGGAACATTTCAGACCCTGTATCCAAGCCTTTCCAAACACTCTTATGCCATCGCATCATGCCCTTCCTTCTTCATCATGTTCTTAGCAAGACTATTAGCAACTTTTGTCCGTATGTTTGTATGCTTCAGTGGTGAGCAATGGCCCAAAATCGCTTTAGACCAGCTCGAGCTTTTAGAGCAAACTGAGAGTTATATTCTAGTCAAAAACAGCACTTTTTTCTGCATCGAATCATAAGTTGCATGAAGAAATGATTTGCAAGACCGTCTCGCAGATGCATATGGAGACGTTTGTGCTGTACTTTTTAGGGTACCATTTTCGTAAGGTTGTTATTTTTTAACCAAACGATCCTATCCACGAGAATCTCAGTGACGACATAATATCAGTTAATAAGTTTGTTCTCATTAGTAGAGTGACCATTGCGTGAGATTACGTACAACAAAAACAATACTTTTTCTACATTCCGCAATAGCTCTCTCAACCCACATTTCACTTACTAAATGGTTTACGGTGCTAGGAAAAAGACATCAAAAACAACATTAGTCTATGACTGTGATCCCCACTACTCCTGGTTGGAGACCCTGCGAGATATGGCTGCTAATCAATGTCAGTGGCTTTCCTGTTATTGTTTTCTATCTAGATTGCTTGAATGACTGCATAGAAGTGTAGATAACTCGGAATGATTGTAGTGAGCTATTATCAGGTCCCTTCCCCATACACTTTTATTCTTTCTTCTCAATCAGGCTTTCAAGTAAATCATGGTTGTGTGGTAGCGAAGGATCACTGTTGAATACTGATATTTGGCTGTCGGTGATGATGCTGAAAAATACCAGAAACAATGATGCAAAATACATGAACCTATTCTAAAAGTAATGGTGCTGAGTATCTTGTAAACAGAATTAATGGTCGTGCAGTGAAACATCTGCCGTTTCCTCTCGTTCTTTCCGATTCACTGAAAAATGCATACACTATTGTGGCAGTGAAAAGTTCGAAGCATGGAGTTTACTGATTATCTCCATAAAAAATACCGTCTTTGGTCACGTACTAGAAACCGATTGCACATCACCTAATTTGTCTTAAAAGAAGGGGTTCGAGGCAAAGAGATAAAACTCGCTTTCAGTTTTATCTGTGTCAAACCTGATCTTCACCGCGGCCTGAGGATATTTGGCAACTGTCAACTGATATTTCATCCTAAGTAAAGACAACCTTTGGTGAAAAGCCGAGGAACACATAACAGCTGTTTCATCCTTTCCACGAATCATCAACAGTGCATTCCTCACAAAACTCCAGATAGTTTCGGACCCGCGACCTCTCAGCTAGTAGTTTGCACGCACGCATTCGGTCGCAAACGGCTGAACTCCGTTGTGACTAACTCGAACTTAAACAGGATATAGGATGAAGGTTTCACTCATTTTGTGCTGATGATTCCCAACAGAATGAAACCTTTGCACGACGATTGTCACCTGTGCAGCATAGATCCTTGGGGACTAGCTGTAAAACCTGGGAGAGGATACGATTGGTGTAGAATATATATTAAAATTTCATAACTCTTCATGGATAATGCAGTCCTACACTGCTCTTGTTACAGTGGCTGGAGCTAACAGTGAGCACCAGGTCTGATAAATCTTCCTGGTTCGTACAGTCCCCAGATTGCTCTCAATTGTCCGTTTTAAGGTCTAATTAACACAAAACACTGCGACTTACTTTCACTGCACACGAATCTTCTGTCAAATTGGTCAGAAACAAGAACAACAGTTTCTTTAAATCAAAGTTTTCGTTGTTTGGAGATAGCCGTAGGTTCTTGAATAAAGGGTTGACGCATTTTACTGAAAGAATCAATCGGATATGGTGTTATTATTACTATCATAGCTGTAACGACAGAGCCTAGAAAACCAAAAAATGAAATTCTAGACAACATGAAAACAATTGTTCGATATTTTCCTAAACCAAACACATTTTATAGTTTTTCTTAGAAGAGTGCCTAAATTGAATCTTCACACAGCAAAGGAGATATAAGTTCCCAAGTTTACCATGCTTCTTTCGTATTAGTTAGACTGCCAGTATGAACATATCAAAAACTGATATGATTTACGCAACATAAACGACGAAATTAGCGGCGGCCGACCAAGACTGCAGATGACGCATCATAAGCTAATTCAAAAGGTTCTAGCATTCTTCCCTTTGGTACCCTCACAACGGTTGAAATAAAGCCTTGTGAATAGCCAACAATTTAACTCTCTCTCTCCATCTCTGTAAGAATTTGGTAACACAGATTGTCGTTTTGATGCAAATTGGATTACTTTACCAGACATCCGGACGTGTGAGAGTGTACGGAGAGCTCTCCAAAAGCTTCCGTACACAAAGCGGTGTCCGTCAGGGATGCCCACTCTCTCCATTCCCTTTTAACTTTGTGATCCATAAAACAATGAGACGAACGCTGGAGGGTCTCCAAAACCCTGGTGTTCAAATAGCCTGTGAAGAACACCTTGTTGATCTGGAGTACGCAGACGACATCTTTCTCATCTTCGAAGAGGAGGAAAAGGTACAGGTGTTTTCGGATGAACTGACCAAAGTCATTCCGTCCTTTGGTATGCACTTCGCACCCAGAAAAATGTAAGGTGATGCTCGTGGACATGCAGTCACTGAACACGCCACTCACAATCCAGGGAGCGTTGCTGGAAGTTATGGATTTTTTTTACGTATCTTGGAAGTTGTATTAGTTCTGATTGTAGTGTGACAGATGAGGTGAATGCACGAGTCTGCAAAGCTCGGGTCGCGTTTGTTAATTTTAGACATCTATGGCGTCAGAGTGGTTTATCCCTGAATCTCGAGGGACGTGTGTACCAAGCTACCGGGCGGGCTGTTTTGCTGTATGACTGTGAGACTTGACCTATTCGAGCAGCGGAAGCAAGACCTATTCAGATGTTCGGCAATCGTTGTCTCCGAATCATAGCTCCTGTGGGCTGGTGTCAGCGAATTCGTAACGAGACAATTAGAAAGAGCGTTTTGGACTATGCAACGGGTACTTCCATTGAAGAATGTGTCCAGCACCAGAAGCTGCATTGGTTGGGGCGTGTTTTGCGTACGCCGAACCATTACGGAAGAGAGTGATGTTTCCATGCCCCATTCAGAGTAGCGTACGCAGAGAGGTGACCAACCCTTGACTTGGCAGAGGAGTATGAAAGATATCACGAAACGCATGGGTGCTGTCGGTGCTACTCGTGTTCCAGGATGGAGACCGGTTGATCCACACAGCGCCTGGTTGGAGACGCTGCAAGTTGTGGCTGCCAACCGATGTTAGTGGCGATCTTGTTGTCAGTTTCTATCCAGATTGCCCAATTGAGTTTCTGGATTTGTAGGCACCTCGGAATGATTGTGGCTAGCTAGCACCATGTCGCTTCCCCATCCGTCTTTATTCCTTTCTTTACAATAAGCTCCTCAAACACGTCATGTTTGTACGGCAGCGAAGCATTGATGTTGAGATGATGATGATGATGATGATGATGATGATGATGATGATGCTGATGATGATGATGATGATGATGATGATGATGAGGATGATGATGATGTTGATGATGATGATGATGATGAATATTTTACCATCTCTCGTTGTACTAACTTAATACGAATGAAATACTTACAAACGCATTAAAGACACTCGTTCATCAGTCCTGTGAATTTGATTGGCTAAAACAGTCAACAGGTTCTTTTTTAAATTCCAGAGTACCCACAAACAGTGTATATAAACGGTGCATGTTATATAGTTCTGATGAATAAAATTTTGCATTTTGTTCAGGAGAATGGGAGCTCTCCCCATGTAGTTGTGCATATATATATATATATATATACTCTTCAAAAGGACCACTTTGTTGACCACAAGCAGCAACATACGCTGACTCTGATTCCTTGGCGTTCTTCAGAGTTTTTCCTGCACAAGATAACGTAACTTTAAGGCACATAACTTGTTCCAGCTTCGAAATAAAACTTCGCTCTGGTCGTTAGAAAAATTACTCATTTTTCATTCGGAGGGATGGAGAGCCTCGTTTTGCGTTAAGTAGACAATGCAAGCTGTAAAGTAACTCTTGGACTCACTCTTGCATGAGAGCCCACATAATCATATTGTAATTATTATTTTAGAAAGGTTGTTTCTGCTTTACTTCGCGGCCTACTACCCCAAGTAGTGGGCTTGAAGCGTGTGATTCATTGAGAATTGTCACCCTTTGTTTCTCAGGTGAATTCTTGCAGCTCACGAATTATTGCTGTGCCCAGTATGGTATCCCGTTCTACCGCTCGTAAAACTACTTTTGCACCTTCAATTCTTTTTCATTAGGAATTCCTCGCATGATAACCTACATTTGTTATTATTAATAATAACAGCAATATCACGCAATAGACATTCATACTTAAGGAGGCAAGGCCATACAAATATACAAGTATTCTTCAAAGGATAACGATGTCGCACGTAAGTTTTGCACAATGTTAAGCTCGTCGATGATCGCCGGTTTCATTTTTCTTGCAAATCAACATGGCAGCCAGATGTAATAAAGAACTTTGAAATTTCAGCCGTACATATTTTTTTCTCAGGGACTTATCATAATTGTATTTTATGAATGAGATAAACCGGATGCTAAATTCCAGATTTAGTAGGTATAACCAACTCCCACCGAGGAACGGCTACTTCTCAGTATGAACCACCTAACGATTCAAGGGATGATACATAGCCTGACGGTTTGGGCAGCTTGTTAAAACAAACCAAACGTAAGTCTTCTCTCCAATATACTATGTTGGCCGGCACGTAAAATTAAACTCAACGGCTTGGGCAGTATTATGCCTAAAAATATAATAGCAATCGTAATGCACTACCCATAAGGTTGCTGAAAATTCTTTGACAGATCACGACCGGTTTCGCCCTTCTTGGGGCCCATCAGGTAGGCGCAGTCCCCGAGTTTCCGTCAACTTTATGTTCTACTTGAAACCGAATTGCCCGAAATTGGCGAAATAAACTCATTTGAGAGAGACTCGCCTCGAACTCAGTTGAACCGTAGCGAATGAAACATGAGGTGGCCTGGTGCAGCACATTAGGTTGCTTGGAAGAATCACAAACGAGTGATTCAGTTGGGTTCCAGGTGAGTCTCGTGCAAAATCAAGTTTGCTTGCAAATGAGTGTATTTTTCTAGAATAGTAGTCGTTCATCAATCGCTTTTATACGTTTACCTGCGATGCCGACGGCTAATAAGATCAATAAGTTTATCATGATCACAATTTTTAAGACCCAACTATACCTAAACGCATTGATTTACTCTACACATACAAACAAGTCGTTCAATGTCATAACGATGGAAAAAAGGATTTGAAATACGCAGACAGCAAGCTTGGTGGCACCTTTGGATGTATCGGATACCGTCAGGAGAATCTAAATTTTTTTCACTATTTCAGACGAAGAACTTGCGAATCCCAAGGTAGCAGTTTCGGATTCTGCCAAATCTTCGGAAATGTAGCATATTACCAGAAACCTCTTAAGCCATCAAAATTCAACAGTTATCCCTGTTCGTTTTGGGTACCAAAATGTGAGCTCTGTTTCAATGAGAATAATGAAGCTACGGATAATGGGACTGAAGCTAATATTTTTCAAAGCAATACTAATAAACAGTTTACTTCGGGGTGACTTCCTTTAAAGGAAATCATAGCGCGTATTGTTTGGCAATGCTCCTACAAATTGGAAAGTTTAAAACCCTTTAGGATTTCGCGTAACAGAGGTTGTGGTGGGCAACTGGAGCATTTGGTGATTTCTCTACGAAGTCAGAGAGATCAACGGCAACCAGGAAGCTAACTGAAACTACTATTCTTGCCCAACGGCTTAAACTCACTGTGTTCGTAAGTCACCAGATGAGCGAGTTGCTTTACAATCCCCAGTTTGGCTAGCGGTGGCTTGTCTGAAACGTTTGCAGTTGCAGCCAGTTTCATCACAAGTATCAGTAAAGTCAGCAGGTCATTGCGAATGCTTCGGCAAACTTGAGAGTGTCCTTGAGCCAGAAGATTGAATAAAGCATCCCGAATTTGCAACAGGCACTGCTAAATAGGGGGAAAAAGTTTCTTGAGGGAGCGTTGTAGCATTGCAAGTGACTGCTTGTGTAAATGAATCACCCCCCTTTGACTTAAAAATAGCAGATGAATATCTGTCCTCTTTTCAACCTAATGAAGTACTGCCCTGTGACAGTCAGCAAATTTTTCTTAGTGATTTTGGTGATTGAAATCATGAGTTCTAGTTTTCTCTTCAAACGGACTGATAATTGAGCAGCCAGACGTGCAAATAGCAACCATTTAAAACAAGCCATCTGACTGCAAGTTCTCGCTCATCAGTTGTTCTCCCAATGAATCTACCTAGGCATTTCTTAGGGTAAGAACAAGCAAGTTATGTTTGTCTAATTCCTGAAGATGCTCCTCTGAAAGCTGCAATATATGGTGCATGGATCTTGTAGCTTTTCACCCAGATAGTTTAGTTGCTACGGCGAGTCATTGGGCAGTTATGTCAGATCTCCCGAGCCAAAGATAATCACGTGACGTAGAGTTCATTTGTGCTTATGGTTGTCAAACACAAATCTCATTCTTGTCATTTTATCTTCCAAATACACGCATGAGTACCTCGCCCATCGTCCTGTATTGCAATATGCAATGTCACTGATATCATTAGCTGAAAACAAAACGTTCTTGTCAAAAGCTCCTTATACCCTATTTACGGAAAGTGCTAGGAAAATGAAACTCCCAACTCAAATTTCATTGAACACTCACCGGTTCTCCCATTTGGGTGACCCAATCTGAAACAGTCTGCATATTGTCGTATGGGTGGTCAATTATGTTCCAGATTACTTCAACAGAACTGGATACCAGTTCGTTGAAAAATGCCGGAGTACACATTGACACACAAATAAACTTCGGTGCATTCAAACTAATCAGACGTCTGGAACAGTCGGCTGAATTTTTTGCCAATTTACGTATCAAGCGCAGTGTGGTAAATCTCAGCTGACTGAAGTTCAGCATTTCGACATGTAGCTGCAGAAATTCAGGATGACACCCACCGTTATAAACGGCAATCACAGTACCTTGAATATATATTCAATCACATCGCTGTTCTCAATAGTGGAACGAAGGAAATCTGGGGACACACGCTGGACAAACTCATCTGAAGGCAAAATTGAAGCGTTAATGAGCATGGTTTACAAAACAAGCTTAACACAACCGATAAATATAAAATTGGAACGACTCGCGAAATCTCATACTCGGTAATTCAGAACGGTAAGGATTTAAAAAACTTTTTAACAGTTATGCTCTATCGCCATGTGTTCGAGACAGGTAAAGATGTTTTTATGCTATTATAAAAACTATTCAATAATTCAAGTGAAATTTCATCCTGGAAGTACAGCTGTTATCAATGCTGAAAATCCAAGAGACATTGTTCAACTTCTCCAACCTTATTGGAAGTCCTCAGCGCTGCATACCTCACAACACCTCGGACCGTTTATGTTCCGCGACCTTCCAGTCAGTAGTTTGAACAAATAACTGTCCGGTTGAGAGCAGTTGATCAACAGTGTGATCAGCTCACTGTTGGACAGGAATAGCACCACTCACCTCTCACTCAAGAAAACCGTATCACGTGATCAAGTACTGGTTGGTTGCTGAATAATAAATGACTTGCTAGTTTTATTCTGAAGTATCAAAGTTGAAAATCCCAAGATCACATTTTATGAGCAACGCTTACTCATTTAGTAGACTAAAATTCTTCGGCCGAAGTATATATGAGTGCGGAGCAAGTTTTAAAAAAATTCCACACAGAAATGGTTTCATACCGACCAATTTAAGCTAAAATTTAGCCAGAAAAAACGCTTTACAACACTTGTGAATACTCCAAAAACTAACAAGACTGCTAGCAACAAAGAAGTTAAAAATCGACTGTGTTTATCATGACGTTGTTTGTAAATGTTTCTGTAAACCCGATATACACTTTTTTTGTAGAATTCATACGTCGGAGTCCTTTCTCTAGTAAATTTGATGAGAATTCAAGGCTACCTAGATTTGGGTAATTTCTACAGTTGTGTTACGTAAAAAAATTGTATCGAAAAGCTACCCGAATTGAAATTCTGAATGAATACACCCTGCAGCCTTTTTGGTAGATTGACAAGAGACGGAGTTTGATATGGCCGATGATGAAACGATTGACCGTGATACTGTGATACACTTCTGAATCAATCACCACAGAGCTACAATACACAAGGGAAGGTAAACCAACTTTGAGCCACTCCGTCTGTGGCATGGCAAACAGGAATAATTGTTTAATACGTGACCAAAAAACGATATCTGTTCGTGATCACGTTTACCTAAACTTGCCGTACACCGTTTTTTATCAAAACATGTTGGCTGGCAGTCCGACTCTTGTTTAAAGGACAATTCTCACCTGGTGTTTCTTGTATTCTCGCTTCAGTTGATTCGTAAAGTTCTTCCAAGACATGGCATATACTCAACTGAATTTTCTCATTGCCGCCACATAACAAATAGCCTATAAGCGTGGTAATACACCAAACTGGAAAACCTACCCAAATGGGAAATAAATTCTATGCTCTGTTCTCGGTAGACATGTAAGTCCGAACTGCGTTCCTTCAGGAATGGGTGTTCACAAAGACGAATAATTTCCGAAAGCGCTGTATGGTACGTATCTGAATCGCGAATTGTAAATTCGGCACACGTCCTGAGGAGACTGGCCAATGCCTTTAACTCGCTTAACCGCTATTTTTGTGGTTTAAGGAAGTAGCGCAAGTGATAAAGCGGACATTTTTGTTCCGTGTCACGCTAGTGACAGAGCAACATATTAATGATTAAGGAAGTAGCGCAAGTGATAAAGCGGACATTTTTGTTCCGTGTCACGCTAGTGACAGAGCAAACATATTAATGATTTTTTTTATTGATACCAAGAAACCATACGGAAGCATTGGGCCAGTCTTCTGTGCACAGCAGTACTAGAAGCTATAGATTCAGATTTTCTGGCCTTCCTTGAGCGTATTTTCAAGTTATCCGTAAACCAAAGCCGGCCCTACCGAGCGAAATTTTGTCATAATCAACTGATAAATTACTTGAAGAAACATTTGCCGATCTTTAAATGCAGCTATTTGGTGCACCCGGTTAAAACATTCTGGTGAATGCCGTAGTGAATAACAATTGTTCATGCAATATTTAGTTTCTAGTAACGTTTTTGCGTATAGTGCAAAACCACAAAGCGCTTATTTTAAAGGACTTGCAGAAAAGTAGTGGTTGGAAAGAAGAATTTCCAGCGGTTTATGAGATTTTTTAACCTACCGAGGTCTGAGCCACAAATATTCTTCTTCATACTACGCTAGCAATCAGGCCGGCTTGGTCAGGTCTCAAATTAACACTATGCACTTCACTTTGAAAGCTATATACTCTTGGTAATAATTTGGCATATTCGTGTTGTAATGTTATCTAAAATAAATAATAATCACTATTTTGTAATCACCAAGAGACTGAACCGTACCGTAGTGTGACAGTTTGCGTACCTCAGAAATCCATTGAGCTACACTGGGGAGTGTCTCCGTGGCACGTAAGGAGTCGCTTATGCCTGGTTGGTCAGTGGTTGAAGGTCTGACAAAAACAGTCCAAAGTCGCTTCTCCGTACGTTTTCCAAGGCCGCGTAAGGCAATGACAAATCGTTTGGCAACTGAAACTTGCAGAATCGGGTCTTAGACGAATTTACCAGAATCATCTTCTGGAGTCTCTTCCAGATGCTCCACTATCAGATGTGGACTCATACTGGGACTAGAAAACCGGTAATGCCAGAAGATTATTTCAGTTGATACGTGTAACCAATCCCCGGAAACTACCTGTTAATAAAACCAACAAGCAACAGAATGAAACGACCATCTCGAATAAGGAAGAACGCCTCGACAGGCTGCATGAATAGTCCGAACAACAACTGTCGTGGCATCCAGCTGGCACTCCTCAAAGACGGGAGTGAAGTCCTCAGTCAACGCTCATCTGACCTGTTTGCTTGCATTTTGGAGGGACAACTGAAGAGGATCGACTGTACTACCCATTTTCAAAGAAGTGAAGTGTAGTGAGTGTGGCAACCACAGATAAATCAGCTCAACCCCAGTCATAACGAGACTGTTGAGACCAGTTTTGCCTCATGGTGGCTCGTGAGATAATGTCTCGAGAGCACCAAGCAGGATTTCGGCCTGGTATGGGTTGCGCTGACCAAATCTTTACACTCCGTCATGTCTAGAACAACGCCATAAGTATAAGCAACCCACAATTCTAGTATTCCTGTATTTCCGAGGCGCATTCGACTCAGTTGATCGGTCTGTTCTTCTTGAGATGCTTGCTCACCAAGGAATGCCCCGGAAGTTTGTGAACATGATACTTATATGTATTCTCAGAATTCTTGACGTGTGAGAGTGTACTCAGAGCTCTCCTAAAGCTTCCGTGGTGTCCGCCGTGGATGTCCACTCTCTCCATTCCTTTTTAGCTTCGTGATCGATGAAATAATGAGACGAACGCTGGAGGGTCTCCAAAACCCTGGTGTTCAAATAGCCTGTGAAGAACACCTTGTTGATCTGGAGTACGCAGACGACATTGTTCTCATGTTCGAAGAGGAGGAAAAGGCGCCAATATCCTTGGGTGAACTGACCAAAGTCACCTCGTCCTTTGGTATTCACTTTGCACCCACAAAGTGTAAGGTCAAGCTTGTGGACGTGCAGTCACTGATCACGCCACTTACAATCCAGGGAGAGGTACTGGAAGTTGTGGAGCGTTTTACGTATCTTGGAAGTTGCATTAGTTCGGATTGTAGTGTGACAGGTTAGGTGAATGCACGAATCTGCAAGGCTTGGGCCGCACTTGCTAACTTGAGACACCTATGGCTTCAGAGTTATGTATCCTTGAATCTCAAGGGACATGTATATCAAGCGAAAATGCGAGCTGTCATCTTGTATGTAGGTGAGACTTGGCCCATTTGAGCCGCGGAGCTGAGACGTCCTCAGGTGTTCCACAGGTTTTCTCAGAACCACAGCTCGTGTGAGTTGGTGTCGTCGAATCCGCAATGGGGCGGTTAGCAAGCGCGTTTTCGGTTGTGTAACGGGTACTTCGATTGAAGAATGTGTCCAGCACCAGAAGCTGCGTTTGTTGGGACATGTGTTACGTATGCCGAACCATCGTTTGCCGAAGAGAGTGCTGTTTCCTATGCCCAGCTCAGAGTGGCGTAAACAGAGAGGTGCCAACCTTTGACTTTGCAGAGCATTATGAAGGAGATCACGAAACGCTTGGGTGCTGTCGGTGCTACTCGCCTTCCAGGATGAGGACCGCGTGTTTCTCACTTTGCCTGGTTAGAGACACTACAAGACATGGCTGCCAACCTATGTCAGTGGCGTTCTTGTTGTCAGTTTCTGTCCAAATTGCTGAGTGAGTGTTTAGAGGTGTAGGCACCTCAGAATGATTGTGGTAAGCTAGCACTAAGTCCCTTCCCGTCTACCTTTATTCTTTTCTTTAAAATAAGGTTTTCAAATAAATAGTGGTCTTACGGCAGCAAAGCATTGATTTTGAAGTGTGGTCTACATGCCGGAATGGGCTCGAGAGAACTAACCTTCCTATCATTAAGTTCGCACCTATAATTTCTTACTTTAGTGAACATACATGATGCCCATGTGGTATATATTTGGTTTTTGCGCGTTCAGCAGACAAGATATAGCGTTCGAGATATGCTTTTTCCTCGGGACAGGATTTGCCCAAGCTATGTTAACGGCGTGGATTTAGAATGTAACGAATGTGCATTGCGGTTAAACAAATGACACCTCTGAGGCAAAACAGTCAAATACACACCCTGTTTTCTACGCACTACTAAATGGACTAATAATCGTATCATTAGTTTTCACCGTATTTGCTGCGGCGTGGCAAGTTGGTGTGAGTAGTAACGTTTATAGTGACCCATGTCCTAAAAAATAACGAATGTATATACTAGCAGCGAGTGTTCATTAGCGTACATTTCATCCACACGCCTTCTGATTTAGCAGCCGCACTGAGTGCCAAAATTATGATCTCAACTGCCACTTTATGCACCAGTAGACAACGAAGCTTCCTGTACTCAAATGCAAATGTACCAAAGACGACTAATATTAGCCACATTAACTAAGGAAAAACACTAATACTAAGGGTAACTTTTGTTGCCTCACGATCTTTACTGATGGAAACACTGGAGGGTCATATTTCATTATACATGTCTTAGCCAGACGTACCACGGGGCTTTGGAGTACACCTACTGCTTTGATTCTTTGGACATGTTCTTCGTCAGGCCACTTTGCAGCACAAGCAAGATGATGATTTACAGTTGTATGTAAAGTCTTACCAAGGTTCCTTTTCACGCATTCCGTATCTGCCAGAAACCAAACGAATTATAACCCCCATGTACCAAACTAAGCGTTATTTAACACACAAAGAATAATGTTTTCCTAGAGAATTTATTTCCAACTCATCTGACTTCGCATTACGGTGCACACTTACTCTCGGTAATCTCAAATTAGTTTAGTCAGTAGAAACTCAGATTGTGTACAGCCTGCGCATATGGGACAGCTTCGTATACCTATCATTTTCTCCTGGTTTAATAAACCAAACTCAACCTTCACATGGCTACTAGAAATTATCATGAGATTACATAATTAGGGGCGTTTAAATTGTTTGCATCAAAGCACTGTTGACAACATAACTCAACCGTATCCTGTGCAATAAATTCAAGATAGTGTCTTATCATTCTTCTTCCTCGCATTTGACGACTGCTGTCTCAACGAGGTAGAGCGGAACTTGGTATTCATGCATGCTGTTTTCCTCCCAAGTATGTCAACGCAAAACTGGTAACAACGAAAATCTGCTATTCCTAAGAGTAATAGTAATTATTTAGATCAAACATCCATTTGTTGCCCAGTTGCCTTGTCACCCTGAAGGGAGTACAAGGGCTGACATACTGGCAAGTTGCCAAGACGAGACTGGAGCAGTAGAAGTAAACTTTCCAACACTGAAAACCGAGGCCAATGTTAGGTTCAGGCAAAGGTCATGCCAACTGCTAGTAATTGTTCCAGTAATTGGTCTTCTGTTGGATCTCACGATCCAGCAGAGCAGTTCCCGTTTTATCATATCTTGCCTTAAATTAAGGTCACTACATTTTTTGATCATGTTAATCTGCTTAAGAGGTGCTTGCATTCAACCCTATAAAAACTGGTTCTTTCCGCGCCACACAGCGCAAATGCCCGCTATTGACTGAGCACATCAAATGTACTTTTTTTACTACAGATAGATATCGGCTTTGCAAACATCGCTTGTCTGTAAAACCCTTCTGGTGCTTGGCTGCTTTGTCACCCAAAGGAGGCACGAGGGTCGGGATACTGCCAAGCTGCCCAAACCTATGAAGGAGAAGACGAGAGGTAGAGATCGGGTTCAAAACACTGACCGAAAGGTCAGTATACTTGCGCTCTAAACACTTGAGCCATCTTGCTCTGCTCTGCAAACCACCTACACACTCAATTTTGCACTTGGAAGCTTATTTTCTTCAAGTAGCTTTCCCCCGGCCACCAAACTAAAGGCATCGAGTTCCTGGCATTGATCATGCATATAAAAGGATACATAACCATAAGAACCATGCTCTATTATTTTTCGTAGAATTATCATCTGCCTTTCTTTCATGTGTTTCTACGCAAGATTGCATTGAAAAGGACATTTTTCTTACTGTATGTTCATCAGTCATGAGTTTGACGGCTCTTTCGATCAGGTTATCATTGCCAAACCCCTGAAAATATTGTGAAATATAAACAGCAGACATTACCTTCGCCGCTGCATTGTTTTTTATCATTTGACCCAATTTACCAGTATACATGAATGAAGGCAAAGCTTCCAGTTAAGCATTCATCATTTCCAGGGTAGTGTGTAAGGTGACAACCTACTCAGTGTTTCTCACGCAGGGGTAGAAAGGTTGTACTTGAAGGTCATTCCACCTGAAAATGAATTTGAGGCTCATGCTTAGTAATACCAAAAATTGAGTTGAATTTATTTCCATACAGGTTCCTTAATGTTTTGTCTCACATGGCTATCAGTTCAAAAAACAGGCACAGAATGAGACCAGCTGCTCCCATGGCGGGAGTGAGAGTGGATGATTCTTAGGTTTTAATTAGATCCAAACATTTACAACACCTTTTTGCAACATGTGATACCATAGGATCAGAGAGATCACTGTAGCCTTTAAAAACGTAAATCCAGTTGTCTTCTGGCCTTCCGAACATTGCTAGTACCAGAATGCAACAATCAGGCTGCAGCTCATATAAGGCCGAATGACAGCAGGCACTTAAAGCAGGAATTTAAAGCGTATTTTTTACCGGACGCATGATTTTGAGTGGTATGTTGAGTAGCAAACATAAACTCACAGATTCTCTACGATGAATTCATAAGATAATTTTTTTCAACTGAGACATTACTTTGGATTACAAAAAGAAGACACATGTGTATCTGGATGAACCACTAAGTATCCGGTTAGTTTGTACTTGTAGAAGAGTACTAGAAGGTATGATACTTCGAGAAATCCCTTCATTATTAAGAATTTATTTTTCCAGAGTAATACAAGACCTCAGAAAAGGAAAAATAGATGGTCAAAAAGAATCAGGAGACCGAAATACCTAAAAGGGATACGGTTTGAAGCCAAATCATACGTACATATTACTATATGAGGCAAATAAGGATGGTTATCCGTTTTGATTGCATGTTTCAGTGAGCACCG